TTGCTGCTTACAAGAAAAGTATAAAGAGAGGAATATAGCAGAAAGTTGTGTCTATTATAATCTGAGGATAAAAACGCTGCTAGGAAGCCTATAGTCACATCCTCTGTCTTCGTTTCACCAATGTTGTCATTTCGATACGAATATTCTGTAATAGATGGAGAGGTCTAAACCGGAGGTTTAGATCTACAGTATCAAAGAGAAATAATTGGGTTGACGAAGTGAAGCAATCTAAAATCCCACAAATCGTATTAGTTAAAGGGAAAAGACTAAATGATAGGCTAATGACTGATATTCTATTGGCTTAGAGAGGTTGCGTCTCTGGTGTAGTTGTGATTCCGTGTTTATTATTGAAAACAAAGAAATATATATATATATATATAGTTCGAGTATTATATGATGATATAAAGGAGAACAGAAGGAAAGGATGGAAAGTCTGGTTATTCAATTTTGGGTAAAAGATCAAATTTTGATAAATTTGAATAAAAATAGATAAAATAAAAAAATAAAAATAAAATAAAAAAAAAAATAGAAAATTTGAATATTCAATCAGTCAGGCAGTCATTTATTTTATATTAATAAATAGTTATTTGTACTAACAATCAGCGCAGTCACTATTTTTATGCTCACAAAAAGTCTTTCTTTTTTATTATTCTCTAGATCGCTCTCTTTCGCTAGCACGGCAAATCTTTCCACCAGGATGTCCGAATCATTCANTCAATAAACTACTCTTAAGATAATTTTTTCTCAAGACAATATATCTGGGTGGATCTTACGGACAGCCTGGCAGGACAGCCTGAACAGCCTGAACAACCTGAAAGTATGTAACGTCACTCATAATAAGGAGTTTTATGGGTATACACATAATTTTGGGTTGGGGGTTAGGCTTTGCAGTAATATTACGAAAACGACATTTCTATCTAACCTGACTAATCAATTGTGGCTACATATCTTGGTTGGTGATGTTCTCTAATCCCTCAGTGCAAAATGGCGTGCCTTGAAAAAAGCAATATATTCATTGCATCCATTAGCTTTACTACTTTGTCCTCGCACTTTGTGTTTATCTATCTCTCCCCAGGCACTTAACTCTCATTATTTTAAGAGCCACAGCCTGTATTTGAGCAACTTAATAATAAAATTCTGTCTCACACGAAAAACAAATCGTGTATATTCAATTAGTAGCTCTGAATTTAGACTTGACAATAGAGAGATAATAATTAGTCGCATATGTACTATATCAATAGTCAGCCATGCAGAAAGTCGTAAGAAGTTGCTGTCATTAAAACGTGGCGCAATCATGTTGAATATTTCACTATTCATTGGTCTTCTTACACGTATCGTGTCTTTCTCTTTCTTTCACCTACTTATATTCCCAAAGTCTGACAGTACCAACTGGTAAGTAGTCCCCATCCACTCTTTTTTGCAAAGCACAAAAGGAATTCTTTATAAATATTTTGTATCCTGGATTTAATTAATTATTAAAATAAGAATAAATTCTTACGAACCAGATAGAGTTATTCTATACAGTCAAAAAGGTCACTATTTGTGGGCCATTGGAACCAAAATGTCGTCTCCCTCAAATTAGTGTCCAGGCTGTCCCTCCAGGCTGTCTGTAAGGTTCCCCTAACAGATCACAAATCCTGTGAACAACCCAAGACGTATTACACTCAAATGTACTGGTCAAATTCGCACGACCGAATGTCATATTCTTCCAGCAAATATTCAATAAAGCCTTCGCATATTTCACGTCCTATGGACTGGTGAAGGTCACTGCTGGCGTGGGATGGCTTTAGAAAAATGATCGATGGATCTTATGGTTGCCAGCAACAATATCCACAACAGGATACTCTTTTGCTCTCAAAATTTGTAAGGACGAGTAAGGAAGAACGCGAGTCATGGCGTTTATTCATTCTATGTCAATTAACATTTGGCCGTAGACTTGAACAATTACCTTTAGAACCAATCAGTCAAAAGGTTGATAAATTGGGTTTGATTACAAGATATACTAGTGCAGCTATCAATCCATTGTTGGAAAATCTTATAAAACACGTCATGTTTCGGTGGTATGAAAAGAAAAATTTCAGTCAAACGCAAGCTCAATTTATTTTTGTCATTTTCGCGTACTTTAGGACTTCTGTTGCCAATAACAAGTGTAAATCTTGTGAGATGGCATTGTTACTGGCCAGACCAGACTCTACAATCAGCAAGGTTATGGGCACGGAGATCGGGCAAACTGTGGGATATGAAGAAGTGAAACCGGCATTACAGGCGCTGAATCGCGAGCTGGTCGGAAAAGACTTGGTGCGATTGGCGCTTTTATCAAAAAAAAAAACGCGATTGATACGTATCGTAGCAAATTTGTCTTGGTGTTTCTTGTCGCTGGTAAGCTTTTCTGTTTTTATTTTGGGTGCAGAAAAAAAAGACATATAAACACTCTTTATTTAATTCTCATCATGGTGAATAAGGAAATTGCGCAACATTCTATTTGACTTATGGTACAAGAAATGGCTTTTATTAAATGGTTGATATTCCCCATATTCAGTTGCCAATTTCTTTAAAGGAATTTCCTCTTTTCATCCCAAAAGCCGAACATTTTGCACTCGTCTCCTCAGTCTTCTGAAGCTTGTGCGTTGAGCAGAGAATGGATCAACAACCATCACTTATGCCAACCCTTTCCGACAATGAAATAGCAAAAATTATGGATATCCATACCAGCCGCAAAAGAAAAGAAAGTAGCTTGAGAAGAAGTGACAGAAAGATATTTATATGATGTACAGTTTCGGTGTCAAGATTACTCACATTCTCATTAGAAATAATAAATCTAGAGAATTGCATGAAATATATCTTTTGGCTTTTCAAAAGTAGGGATCAGACATAGCAATGCCAGCACAGAAAAGGTATATATTTGCCATATATAGAATATTTGATTGGATTATATGCAAAGGTAATTTGAAATCCCATAAATCGTATTTGCGAAAAAGTGAAACTAATAGGCTAAAATCTGTTATGTTATTGGCTATAAAAGTTGCCCATAGGCAAATTTGTTGCCCATTCGGGGTTGTTAAACATTAATTCCTATTGGCCTATAAAAAAGTTACCCATACGCAACCGAGTTCCGCATCCGGAGCTTTAAATGCTGCCATTTCCTACAGTGATAATTTACATACATAGTAGATATTGATATGGCAGAAAAATAAAAGAAGAAGAAGAAGAAGAAGAAAAAAGTACTTGTTTTGGTGTAATTCATCTATTGTTGTACATCACATCACATTACACTATACAATACTGCACTATACTGCACTGCCCCAAATAAAAGCAAACAAAACAAAAGAGGAAGAGAAAGGTAACAAGGTACAAAAAGAAGAGAATATATATTAAATTATACTATATATTTTGAAGAAGAAGAAAAAAGAAATAGAAATTTATAACAATCGGAGGGAAAAAAAATATGGATTCCAGGAATCCACAGTCAAGGTGGAACCCAACTGACGATCACCCCATTATCGTTCCAGACTTTGATTTAATTAATAAAAATCAATGTTATTTTATATAAATATATGTATTGAAATATTAAGTCTCAAGTCATCAATAATGTCTTGTTTTCTATATATATTTTTTATATTAACTGATGGTTGCTATGGTTATAACTTATCTCTGTTACTGCTGTTATTTTAAGCAATAGATGTTTCTGTGGCAACCATCAGATAACTATAATTTATATAGATAAATATATATAAATCACTAGTATAGTTTTGATAGTTTACTGAGTCTAAAGATATTATATATATTATATATATATATTTAGACAATTGATGTATTATTTATACTTATATTATTTATTATTTATTTTAATTAACCAGTACAAGATCTTATAAGTTGCTATGACTATTAAATAGAAGACAACCAAGAATAAGCCTGTGTTCTATTGAAATGGAGACTAAAATAAAGAAGAAGAGAAAAGAAAAAAAAAACTCTGTTTGTGCCGAACACGGACACCAATACAAACTTGTGTATGTACATTAGAGCTTAGTCCTGTATTACTTGCTTGATTTTGGCCCATTAATTTTGAAGATGTTTGATTGTTTTTGATTACTAGTTGTTTTTCTTTATCTCATTCTTAGTAGAATGTTGTGTAATGTAGTGTGATGTACCCACAAACTTAGTATTATTGATTGCAGGGTTACAGTAAATATTTACAAAACATTGTATTACGCAGACCAATGATGATAATCTTTAGGCACGACTAATACACAAGGTACAACGAACTTACAACACCGCACAGCTATTATATTATATTATATTATACTATATTATATTATATATCTGTATAATGTATATAATGTATAGTATGTATTGTGTATTTGTTTTTCGTTTTTTATTTTCTTTCTCAAGTACCGCGCACAAAACTTTAGTTTAACATACTTTCTGTTCACATACACATACACATAAATATCCACATGTACTCTTTGAGCTTATACGTGACTTGCTTGAGTAGCAGAAATACTTGGACGAACTTGGTGTGTATTAAAGCTCAAACACACTTACAATTAAAGTGCACAGAGAAAGAAAGAAAGAAAAGGTTTATTATTGTTGCTGCTGTTAATATTAAATATATTTTTTTTAAAAATATATATGTGTATATATTGATTTTGGTAGTTGGTATAACAATTACACGTTGAAAAGATGAATAAAGTAAATAATTAAGTGAATAAATAAAGAGAATAATTAAATAAATAGATAAAGGAATAAAGGAACACAATATATATTCCTACAATTATTTTTTTTCAAGTGCAAGAAAAAAAAATGAGTGCCAGCTCAAGCGAAAGAAAAGCAAAAAGGAAAACAAAACAAAAGGATAGGAGAATAAGATTCTTTAGGCAGCAACACCTCCAGTTGCTGCGTAGACAAAGAACAGAACCCAGGCAACCAAGAGACAGACAATGAAACAGCCAACATAGATATAGTTCTGGATAGCAGGATTAACACCAGTGTAGGCATCGAGACCCTGCTGTGTGTAAAAGAGCTCCTTGTCGTTTACTTCCTTCATGATCGCAGTACGGTTGGCACGGGTTGTCTGCAAAAGGTTGCGCAGGTAGAAACGCTGGGTGATAATCAAACCAAAGATCAACACGAAACCAATGCCACCAAGGACGATAAACAGAGTCATGACACCGGTATAGGCTTGATTGTGCGTGTTGTCCTGGATAACACCAACAACGATATCAAGGATGGTGGTGCCGACATTGTTGGAACTCTTGTAGATACCAAGACCGGTACCAATGTAGTCAGATGGCAAGATCATACCGATAGACGTAATCATGGCAATGGGACCGAATGCAAGCGAGATACTGTAGAAAATCATACCGACAATAGCATCAACATAGGTCCAGCCGAGAAGACCAGAACTAAGGATAAGGAAGATTGCAGAAATCAAGAGAACAGTGATACGGTGGCCAAAGTAGTCCATGAACACACCCAAAACAGCAGTGGCGACGATGGGGATTGACTGAGAGGCACTGGCAGTGTAGCCGGCCAATACACTGGTGGTGTTAAAGTGCACGATAACAAGTTCGGTACTGATGGTCTGGAAAGAAGACCAGACGGCCGCAAAGATGAATTCGATAAGAATGATATGCCAGTAGATGGTGGGGAACTTGAAGACAGAGCGCCACTTGAAGGTCTTCTTGTTCTTGAGACGCGCGACTTCTTCCTTTGAGATGACAACGTTTCCACGGAGCTTCATGACAGTGAGGGCATAGATGACGTTCATGAGGATTGAGAAGCCACAGAGAATGAAAGACAGCCAGAAGGCCCAAACCCAGTCTCCAGTCTTTTCGGCAATGGGGTTAGCAACAAGTGTACCAAGGAAAGTAGAGAGACGACTGATTGAGAGTTGGAGACCAATGGCAATAGACAGATGCTCTGTTCTGAACCACTTTGACAAGAGAGATTCTTGCATGGTAACGATAAGACCACTTCCGATACCGAACACAACACGACCGACAACCATCAAAGCAAACGACTCGATCTTTGCGGCAACTGCAGTCAACAAACTACCGATGATAATAAGGCAGTTTACAGCCAAGGTACCCCAAACCGAACCAAACATATCAATGAATACACCACCAGCAATAGGGAAGATTGTGTTGATAATTGAGACTGCAGAAGCAAGCACACCATAACGAGTATTGTCGATGTGGAGGTTCTATATATAACAAAAAAAAGGTTAATTAAGTAAGTATATGCATATTATATTTGTCTAAAAATTGATAACACAAAACTTACAGCTTTAATTGGAGCCTTCATGGCACTAAGGGCACTTGCAGAGAAATGAGAGCCAACTAATGTAAACAAAAATGTGATTAATAAGTTTAATAAGTTGAATCATTACAGCAAATACATACGAGGGAACAAAAGTGCAGTGACCAAAGCAATTGTCTTGTATTGCCAGGAGGCATTTGCAAAGGCGGTATCACCACCGTTACTGATTGGAGCTACTTCTTGTTCGTTCTTTTCCAATTCTTCATTCATGTACAATTCTGATTTCTCAACTGGGACAGTTTGTGTCTTTTCAGCAAGATCATGGTTGTGACTATTGTCTGCCATTTTTGTGATTGTTTTTTAAATGTTTTTAATTATAAGTTGGGTTTATGTATATGTGCAGTTATATGAAATATGCTTGTAGGTCTGGGGTAAGAAGGCAATGAGGAAACAAAGGCAGAGAGAATGGATGAGGGAATAAGAAATATCTTGGTCTTTTATATATACTTTTTTTTCTCTCTCTTTCTTATTATGATTTATTATCCGCTTTATACACAGAAGATACAATATTTTTGGTGCTCGCAAAAAAAAATTCTATGATTATCAGTTAGTGCTACTACTACTACTACTACTACTACTACTACTACTACTACTATTACTGCTGTTACTGGTGGTGGTGGTGGTGGTGGTGGTGGTGCTGTTACTGTCGCTGTTGCTTATGGTGATACTACTAGTACTAGTATTAATACTAGTACTATTGATATTACTATGCATGTTATCATGATCAATTATTATTATTTTTGGAATTAGTCGCTTTAATGATCAATGGTCAATGGTCAATGGTTACAGGATGTAGAATTTCCCGCTAGGTACAAGGTCGGAGTAGTATCTATATATATATATATATATATGTGTGTGTGTGTGTGTGTGTTTGCTTGTTTATGTTGTGTAAAGAATAAATATTGACTTTTTGTGTAGTCAAACCAACCCAGATTATGATTTTTTCCTTCAATGTACAAGGGCAAGATATTATATTCCTTTTTTAATATTAAAAACAAAAAAAGACACTAGTTGTATATTAGTACTTGTCATCATTTGTAAGCTTGATCAATCTTGGTATTACAATCAACTTGGCAAGATTCTATTATTTCTTTTATTTTCTTAATTGTTTTACCGTGTCAAATGAATAGGTATATAGCTATTTAAAAATAATAATAATAACATAAAATGTATGTGATCTAATGGAATTCTATAGATGATTTTGGTGTATTCTAACTAGATAAAACAAAGATAATAATTACATGTAGCATTAAGGACAATGTTGTAGAGGGTTTGATCGTACTACGCATTAAAATCAAAAGATGATCTGATAAGTCATGATTATTGTCAGAAATGGAGGTCTTATTCAGAATATGGTCTAGTCTGTAATCTGGTAAGAGGCTTATAATTTTTTTTCTTGTAATTTTATCTCCAATTGCCTTAATAATATAACTCCATCGCCCGGTTGTGTAATCCATTGTCCTACAGTCTTAATTTCTATGTAAAATATACCGATCTCTAATATTTGACTGGTACATTTTGATACCGTACTACAACGTTTTGGAGTAACCGGCCAGATTGGTTATACCTATTTTTTTCTTTTTCTTCTTCTTTGTATTCATCTTTTGATCTTTCAAATCAAGTAAGAGAAAAGAGAAAGACACACACCCAAACATATCTATATGTCTACATGTCCTTTTCTAGATGTAATACTAGGCTATCTTTTTTTGTCTTTTTGCCTTTTTGTATGCCTGTGTGCCTGTGTGCTTGTGTAGACCTCGTCTATTCTTAAAGGATCCAATGTACTAGTGCTCTTTTATGCCCAAAAAAGAAAAGAAAAAAAAAAGGTTTCTTGACAGTCCGTTGATGGTTTAACAAAACCAGAATAAGATAAAAATCCTTATTTGTTTCCATGTATTCTGGATCGAAGCACTTTTTCTTTTCTCTCTCTCTCTCTCTTTATCTTATATTAAAATAAAAATTAAAAGGATAGCACCAACAACGTTAACAAACTCATCAACTTCCTTGTCAAATCATCAGATTAAATTATCAAACACTCTATTTTTTTTCTTGCTTTTAATTCAAGGAACATATTTTTTATTCAATGATAAACGCAGCAATCTTACTCACTAATACCGGAAAATATACAAAATATCTCCTTATTCACAGTCTAGTTACCACTATTTTTTTGTAATTCTCTCTTTATGTTTAAAGATCCCCATAAAACTCAAAAAAAATATTTGTAAATTTAGTGAATACTCAGCTCAATTAATTCCTTCGACAGGCGAGATTCTTGAATATACATTTTTTTTATTCTTTATTTGCTCAGCTATTTTTACTTTGTGTGAAGGCTCAATCAATAAAACAGGGTCCACTGTTCCCTGTATTTCGCTAACCCCATGTAATCATTGCCATAAATAGTTGCTGTATTCTCTTTGTCAATATATATATATATGGAAGTCTAAAGGTCTAAAGGTCTAAAGGCCTAAAGGTCTAAAGGTGTTGTTGTTGTTATTTTATTTAAGCCAGTACAAAAATTAACAGTAATAATAAAAGTAGTAGGAATGTATGCCTCGATATCACAAGATTGAAACAATACATATATATATAAGAGGGAAAACCATTAGGCGATCACAGTTTGGTGTTTTTTTCTTTTAAAAAAAAGTGATTATAAAATATCTAGATACACACACGCAAACACACACGCCCGTACAGGTATATATAATTATATATATATATATATATATATATATACGAGCGTGTGTGTATATATTGTAGTGTATTGTATTGTATTGTATTGTATTGTAATGTAATGTAATGTAATGTAATGTAAATTTGTTAACATTTAACAGCAGCTTTTGCCTTTAAAAGGTATTCTCTAGTAGGCTTCAGACAAGCAGGTTGCCATTCACCATTGTAAATACAAAGAACACGCATACGTTCATTGTAATAAAGATCCGGTAACAGTTTTGGTGTGATGAGAAAGTATCTAAAGATCAATACACAAAAGAAATAGATGAGTGTACAAGAGAGAAAGGGATATACATACAGAGAGATAGAGTTGTACTAAAGAAAACATGGGATATGTACATATATATATATATAAATATAAAACTTACTGAGCTGTTCCAGGTCTACTGGCGCCTTGTACAATCTGTTCATGAATCATTCGTTCGTTACGTGGGTCCATGCCTTGGTTGATTTCATCTACGACACGGAAAGGTGCCCTGGCAAGATCCTGGAGTGACATTAGGTACAGGATAGTTGAGACAGCGCGTTCTCCTCCTGATTGTCTTTGACCAGTCAAGAGTTGGAGCTTTTCATTATCTCTGATATATCAATATATATATTTAGTCAAATAATTATTAATCATTGTATTTTAAAATATATATAATATATATATATATATATATATATGAAACTTACCTAAACTTGACTCTGATTTCAATTCCCCATTTGTCAAAATCTTCGTGTTCACTAATACCAACTTCACCTGCGCAGCCAATTTCTATTGATTCATTTATACAATCACATATATATATTTTTATTTTGGATTTTAGTATTACAATTTTTTTGTAATGGTTAAATCATGTATGGTGAGTGGATGGGTTAGTAAACCAATATTTAGTACTGACCCATTTCTTAACTTACTCTGTAGAGCTGCCGAAAAGTTCTTGCTGATTCTGGACACAAGCTTTTCTAAGCGAGGTTTCCATTGGTTCTGTATTAAACATAATATTATACAACATGAATTTATAATCATTCTTGATCTACACTAACCTTTACACTCTCGATCTTTTGTGACATTTGTTCAAGCGTCCTTTTGTCAGAATTGACCTTTGTTTCGAGTCTAGCAATCTAATGTACAAAAATAAAATAAATAATTGAGTCGCAATAATTACAGGCATCAAAACCACACAAGAACACAAGTACAAGTACAAGTACAAGTAAACACAGACACGTATTTAGTGCGTTCGGTTCACAAAGACCGAATATGAGTTGTACACACACACACATTTATATACTCACATCGGCCAATCTAATTTCATAGTTCTCCATAGCACGGGGATTGGTGGCCTTAATAGCGTCTGCTTTGGCTGTCTCTGCATTAATGGCATCCTCTATTTCAATCTCACTTTGCTCTAATCCCGTCGTTTTCCATTTCTCGAGAATCTATGGAAACAGTATCAATATTTTATATATTCTATTTTGTATATCAAATTCCTAAAAAAGCAAAAAACAAAAACAAAAAACCTTACCACACCAAATTCAACTGCCAACTCCTCTTCAAGATCATTTCCCGCTCTTTCAGCTTCACGGTAGTATCTCTGAGCTTCTCTCTTCATGCTATTTGTGTTCATGACAGCTGCACACCAAACAAACAAACAAAAAATTATTATGAGGCATTATATTCTTTCTCTTCCTTCTGTTCCTCTTTATATAATAGAAACATAATATATACACATTACCATGGCTGTGTTCTGCTTTTGCCCTGTCCAAATCAGATGTCTGAGATTTGGCAAAACGCTTCAGATCTTCCAATCTGGCCGACAGCTGCAGGGCTTTTATGGCAGAAGCATTACGCTTCATTACGGTCTTTATGAATTTTTGAAGAGCATCCTACAGACAGACCAAAATAAAAGAGATATTTGCTTTTAGATGATCTGATCTCCAAGATTTCAAAACGAAATAAAGTTAGTTCTCTCTTTTTTTTTTCTTACCTTGAATTTTTCTGATAATTCACCTCGAAGGATAGCTTGGTCGACAATCTTTTCTTTAAGCGCAGGAATATCTTCATTTATTGTGCTTGGTCTATTGATCTTTCGTTGAAGGTCTTCCACCATATATTCTATGGTACAAATCAACAAAAATATTAATTAGGTATTATAGAGATAAATAAGAAAGAAACAACAGTAAAAATAGTCATAAGTCTTTGTTGTTTCCCACTCAAACCCTTGGTTTGCACATATATAATTTTTTATAAGTTACCTAATTCTTGTTTTCCCTGTCTCCATTTAGCCAACTTGTGGAAAGCATCTCTCTTTTGAGTTTGAAGGTTTTCCTGTGATGATTACAAATATTAGTATCCATATTGTCAATTAACCATAATTTTAAAATAGTAAAGAAAAGAATATAAAAGTATTCTTGTTCTTCTTATTCTCACCTTTTCGTGTTTCAATTCTCGTTCTTTCTGAACCATTTCGCTCTTTTCAGCAGTCAATTCCTCCATATCTTCATTAATCTTAGATGCCTCCATTTCAAGTATCTGTAGACCTTGCACCAGTCGTGTTCTGGCCTCAGTGTTAACTATACCATTTTTGTTTTATTAGTTAAATCAATTAAACAATCACCATATATTATAATGCAGTATATCACACAAAACACACTTGTATGTATTCTCTCTCCCTCTCTCTCTATTTTGTTTTTTTTTTTAAAAAAAAGCTTACTTGAATCGGCTAGTACATTTGCTGGTTTGAATTGCCTAATAGCCGTTTGTTTACCACCCCTTCCGTAGCCGTACTGCTTAACAGTATAGAAACTGTTCTTTATAATAAACTTCTTGAATTGGCCACAATCTGCAATACGTTGCTGATCTTCTTGGTACAGTGACACAGGCTACCGACACCCAAAAACAAATATATATTAATTGAATTTTGACACAAACAAAAATTATAGTGTTGTATATACTTACGATAAGATGTATTTTTATTTGTTGACACAAATATTTGATTACAAGTGGTGGTCCTTCAAGTAGATCGGACACAAAGTACTCCATACCATAGTTTTTACGAAGCTATAATAATAATTGTAATAGTGATAAACAGAAAAAAAAGGTAAGCTAAAGATTCGACACACACACACAATTAAAGAATCACTAATTTTGAACTTGCCTGTTCTTCTGACATGGGGGGATTCAATGGCTGGTCTCCATTTTCACCGGGCCAAGTCACAGTCAGTCTTAATCTCATTTTATCAACTGCTTCGCGAGTAAACATTTCGTAGTCTTCTTTATTCTCACAAACAAATGTCTAGAATATAATTTAAACGAAAAGAAAAAAAATGATATTAATTGTACATTATGCTCTTTCTATCTATGTATAATTTTTTTATCTTACCTTTAAATGGGATCCATTCTCACCACCAAGGGCTGCTTCAACAATACTTGCGTATTTTTGATCCTTGACATTCACACAAATCTGAATAGGACCATAGATCTTTCCACGAAACATATTCTTGTTTGATTTGAGCCATTCTGCTGCTTTGAAGGTGTCTTCATGAGAACGTCTCAAATTCATCATACGTCTCTTTTGAACGTTCTGTATTTCGCCCAGTCTATTATTATTATTATATATACAAATAATAAACGGTTTGTTTTGGTTATAAAAATAAATAAGTAAGCTATTTATCACACTTTCTTTCTCTATACTTACTCTCTTTTGTTTTCTTCAACTAAAGTCAAATTATTCCGCTTTTTCTTATTGATATCATCGAATTTACGACGTAATTCAAGATTCTTATCAGAGTATTGGCCAAGTTTGGTCTCAATCTCATTCTGTAAATATAATTATGGTTATTTTTTTTTTGTCAGAAATATATATATGTATATATATTTGGTTCTTTAATAGAGATTATGACTTACAATGGCATTTCTGATATCATCTGTATTTTCGACCGCAGGCTCAGGTCCAAGTTTGTTTTCAGCATAAGCGATCTTTGTTTCCAATTTATTGATTTCATCTTTTCGTAAGGCTTCACGTCTTTCCAAGTTCTCAATCTCCTTTTTGGCTTCTTTTGTCACAAGTTTCTGTACAACAAAGCCAAAAAAAAAGAAGGTATTGTTTCAATAAACAAGATATATATGTATGTATGTAAGTGTTGTGCGTGTTTTGAATATGTAATATTTACCGATCTTTCAATCTGGTGGGTTGTGTCTGTCAATTGAGAAGACATACCGGTCGCAGTCTGTTTGAGTTGATTAAGGGTAGTTACAGCATTTCTGGATTCTGTCTCGAGTGTTCTAGAAAAAATAATAATATTAAAGTTTAATTTGATTTAATTTAATTTAATTGGTCAATTCATTCATTCACTTATCCATTGCTTCTAACAATATAAAAAAAACCTCCCAATAAGAATAAAAATAAAAATAAAAGGAAAGTGCAATTATTTACGAGACTGCTTCTTGAATAGGCAAGTGTGATTGCTCGATTTGTTGTACAACTCTCTTCTTTTCTTCTTCTTCGATCTTTGCTTCATCGTGTCTAATCTTAGCCGAAGAGTATTTGGCAAGCGGAAGGGTCGCCTTTAAGATGGCCACTCTTTTCAAAGCCGCCTCACGTTGCTTCAATTTGAGTACATCTTTTTCTAGACCAACATTACGATCTGTCAGAACCTTGAGATGAGTTTGCCCAGATTCATATGACTAGAATCAGATCAAAAGACAAAAAAGAAAGGATAAATTGTCATGATTATTGTTATAATTATTAACGTATATATATATAATTTAATTTAATTTAATTTAATTTAAAATCATTACCAATGTGAGATCCTTTTGAGTCAATCTCCATGTCATAAGCTGATCCTGCCACTCGGAGAGTTTCTTTTCACCTGCGGCTAATTGGGTTCTTTTTAAAAGTAGTGGAGGTGAAAGCTACGAAATATTAGATACAAATAGGCACCTTGATCTACAAATTTACCTGGGCAAACTCGGCTACTTTATCTTGAGGTAAGAATTGACTGATAATAGTGATACAGTCTATGTATTAATATATCATATTCAAAGATTTGATTGGGATACTATCGTTATCAATTACCAGAGATTATCAACTTGAATATCAAATTTTGCAATTGTGGAAATAACTTCTTTTTGTGTAGAAGGCTTGGCTAAATATATATATATATATATGTATGTATGTATGTATGTATGTAAAAGTCAGTATATATATATATATATATATATATATATCTATATTAAAGACGAAACCTTTTTTTCTCTTACATAATATATGCATACACACACGCACACACAAATAAAATATAAATTTACTACTTACAGTTGAGTTTCCAGGTATTTTGATTACCAGCTTTGTGAATGTTTCTTTGTACAGTTACATTTGGACCGTTTCCATTCTTTAATTCGATCAGAATCATCGATTCAGTTGCTCCGGTTTTGATAAACTCTATTGCGTTTTTTGCTCGTCCAAGAAGTGAAGGTGCTCCGCCTAGGCCGAGTGCAATTGCACACACGATTGTTGATTTTCCTGTACCGTTAGGTCCGATAATCATATTCAACTGAGGACCAGGAAATACTTCGCAGTAATCGTATGTGACAAAATTCTTTAAAGTAATCTTTACAATGGATCCATCGACATAACTATTGCCGTTGGTTTCATTGGTTGGTTGGTTGGTTGGTTAATTAGTTGAGAAAAGATATTTGTAAGTTGTTCCGCATACGCACACACGCATATATAGATATATTAGATACATAAATAGATACATAGATTAAAGAAGAAGAGAGAAAAAAAAGGTAACAGCAAGTATATAATATTATGCATTTTATTAGTTGATCTGTCAATATTTTTCTTATACAAGAGTATATACAATAAAACAAAAAATTGAAAGAGTATGTTCATATGTACATGTATGAATGTGTATATGCCTGTCTTTTTCTATCTTCTTCTTCTTCTATTTCTTATATATAGATATATCATATCTTAATTATTTTTGTTGCTGTTTTTATTTACCCGTCTTTTCCTACTGGTAATGGTGCATTGGATTGTTCGTCGTCACTGTCTGAGATGTCACTTTCGAGTGTTGATTCAACCAATTCTGAAAGTTCGACGTTGTCATCGGCGTCTGAGTCGTCTGAATTGCTTAAAACTCTGGCTCGTTTGTGTTCCGATGGACCGGCAAGGTTGTTGAAATCTCCACTATCAGTGATCGACCACGATCGTTGACGTGTTGTCATATTTGTATTGAAATGTGGATAAGGTACTAAAAAAGGAGTACCGGAGCTTGCCAATTATCTTATTGCATTGGTTTAATGTCACGTGAGAGTACCGTCACATATAAATTGTGTTTGTAATTTTTTGATAGTAGCAGTAGCAGTAGTAGTAGTAGTAGTAGTGAGTAGTAGTGAGTAGTTAATTGTAGTAATAATTAAATTCTTCTTACAGATTTATTCTACTTTATATAGTTGAAATATTTAGCCTTTTTTTTATCAGTTTGATATATGATATAGACACACAGAAAAAAAATGGATTCATTATTGCTTTGAATTTTTTGAATTTTTAATATACAACAAGAGGTTGATAGATGTGCTGTGTTTTGTAATACGCTTTTCTTCCTGTATAGGAAATTACTTTTAGAGTCCGGACCGCGTATTAAGCTTCTCCGAGTCGGCTAGTACTCCTTTTCGGCGGAGTTATTTATTTTTACAAACTTTTGAGAAAAAAAACATATCGGTGTAGGCACAGGTCTATATCAAAAAAGGCGTTCTATATTCCGAGATCACCTCTTCACATTTTACCCTTTGAATACTAAAGAAAAATCTAAAAAGTCACGTGCCTAACTTGTTTACATTTTTGTTAGTAAGACTGTGACGGAGGTCACTCTTGAGTTCATAAATCAGTACCTTATTTGGACGCCCCTTTATAATCACTCAAAATCCAATTTCAATAAACTCAGTCTTCTTCCTGATACAGGATTTCCACTCCAAAAGTTATATTTTTTTTTCAAACTATATATTTTGCAAAATCAAAACTTTCATTTTGTGCTCCGACTATATATAAAAAAAAATCAATTTATTTCTTGGCTATTTGTACATTGGGGGAAGAAGCTAATGCTATGATCAACCCAGCCTTGGCAGTTTTCCATAGCGATATGGCGGGAGCACTCAGCAATATACTCCAAGAATTGACCACATACCAACCCGGGCTTTCTCTTGACCAGTGTTTTGAGTTTGGAGAAGCACTCTTCAATCGGGTTTAGGAAAGGAGAGTATAGGGGGAGAAAGTGTAGGTGGTGTCGTGAATTAGCAAACAATTCAGTGACAAGGTGGGATCTATGGATCGAGGCATTATCCATAATGAAGTTGTGAGGGGCAGCATTACTGTGGTCGAGCGAATCCGTAATCGTCTTTACAAATTCAACGAAAATTGGTCCTGTCGTGCCACCAGGGGTCAACTTCGCCTGCACACTCTCAACATCTTGGTAAGAAATACCGGCAAGAATTGAGATGTTTAGTCCCCTTTTCGACTTCGTCTTCACAATGCTGGTCTCGCCTTTCTTGGACCACCCTTGTCCTCTGATCAGGTTTGCATTAAAGCCTGCTTCGTCCACAAAAATGCAATTGGTTTTATACGATAAACCATTCGTGTGTATACTGTCTACGTATACTTTTCTCAGCTCAATAGTCTTCGGGTCGTTTCTTTTTTCCTCGACCGGCTTGGTTCTCTTCAATGTGAACCCGATGTTGTTGATAATGTGCTTATGTAAGCCACTGATGCTCAAGTTCTGCTCTTGAAGCTCTGGAAATTTTCTAAACAGTTCCTCTCTCATTTGACCAAGAGTCAAGGTGCAGCATTCGTCCAAGAGGTCTTGAATGAACTTCGAATGCTCATCGGTTATCTTAAGACTTTCCGCGCGCGAGCCGCCTCGCTTCTTGGGCTCTACAGTAGCATCCCTCTCGAACTTGGTGATGATGTTGTTAATCGACGCCCATGAGACACCAAATGACCTGGCTGCTTCGGCTCGGGTCATGGACTCTTCTATATAACATTTCTCCACAATCATGTTCTTGATGTGGATCGGAAGAACCTTTTGTGGTCCATTTCTCTTTCTTCTCTTAACGATAGCGATTTGATTGGGGTTCATGTTGGAGGATTTGAGTATAGAAAAAGATAATAGATAAAGACAGTTCTCAAAACCATATTACAAACTTAGCATTATATACTTTTCTTATAACAATATATTGACATTGCATGTTTTCTTATATTGTTTTTAATAAACAGTGTAGACATTCTTTAAATACTTTATCGCACATATTAGCATTCTTCATGCTCTTTATTAATTTGCTTTAAATTTCTTTCTATCCGCATTAATTAATTTATTTTTTTCATATATAGTCGGAGCACAAAATGAAAGTTTTGATTTTGCAAAATATATAGTTTGAAAAAAAAATATAACTTTTGGAGTGGAAATCCTGCAAAATATCAAAAGCCCTACGCGTAATTGTTAGGCAGAATTTTCACTAAACTTAACCCCAACCATTGATCCGTAAGATCGTAATTTAACCAATCTCTAATACGCCCAAGTTCCCTACGCCAGAAAGGTTCAAAGAGAGATGTTCTGTTTCATAATCGATACAATTCTTACAAACTTTTACTGCTTAAAGTTGTAACAAATTCCGCGTAAAACTGTTACAGATTTCCCCTCTTTCCTTAGGCTTTCTAACTCCGTGAACTCCATATAGAACGCCAAAAATTAATAAAACCAATTGACTTGGCACCATTAGTACATATTTAAAAAGACAAAGAGAGAAAAGAACGGTGTAATTGTGGGCATATTAGAGCAAAGCAGTAGGGAAGAGTTTTTTATTAACTGCCTGTAGGACTTTGTCCCCCCCCCCCCCCCCCCCCGAAGTGAAGGGGAGGGGAAACACCGCTCCCTTAATGTTACCTTTAAAAGATTTACGGCGCTCTTTCTTTACTGTATCTTTCATTCGGATACAGTTCTACTTTTTTTTCCCTTAAAGAAATAACTAATATATCATTAAAGATGTACAAGCACTCAAATCTGGGTCCTAATTATAATGAATGGTTGAAAACGGCTCATTTACTTGATCCTCCATTTGACTATTTCTCCTTTGCCGAGTTAATTTTGAAAGACAAACACGTTACGAATCTTATTTACAAAAGCATATTAACAGAATATGTGAAAAAATCCAATAAGTACTTGAATGAAGGTGTAAAATCCTTGAAATTATTTGAGGTAATGTATTGGCGAAAGCTATTAAATGATTAAGGGGTATATGTGTTCTTACCACTACAACCATCTCGCCAACCAGTCGCGTACAAAGGAAGATGGTCCTTTTGGTAGTGCCTTTAAAAAATATTGGATTAAAAGAGAGGAGGAACGTACTGTTGAGAGTATAAGAAAAAGACAATTGGAAGGCACATCAAATATCACTAATGATATCGTTTCAAATATGGAGCGAATTATTAAAAAGGTTTGTTCCCACATATTCGCCGTACATTTCAAAAGTTGGTATTAATCTATGTTCTTGTAGTCATGTGCCACAAGCCCACACTTTTCTGTTAGTCCATCCACATCCGCAATATCAAGCACATATATTGCGGATGAAAAGACAGAAACATCCACTATCAGCAGCGAAGACATAGCAAGCTGTGATATAAGTCCTACAGGTTACGCTTACAAAAAGTAAGGAACAATAGTTGTCATTTGTTTATGTCTCCATTTCTATATATATTCATTACTTTGATTAATCGTATTATATTACAGATATGATGGTCTCAACGTGTTGGATCTTGACAACCCTGATATCTTAGAATATATGTCTGGGACTTTGTTAGAAGAATCCGGCGCCAGCATCAAATCATTGACTGACCCTCCAAAAATTGAATTAAGTGAACCGTGCAAGGATATTTTGAATCTTATTTCCAAATCTTCTGCTTCAGCAACATGCATAAAGTCTCAAATAAGGTCTTTTATTGGAACTAATAATTCTCTGGATGAATCTGAATATGCTGACTATTACTTTGCGGAATCTACACTTCATCATTTGTAAGTATCTATATATCATAATAAAAAAGAAAGGCATTGTCATTATTTTGATAGTTAATTAGTTAATTAGCTAATTAACCTAATATCTCTATCTAAATAGCTTGCAAATGATGACCAGCCCAAGAAACCCAATTCTATTCCCAATGAAAGAGAGGACAGCTGCTCCAATTACAGCAATATACTTGTTACATGCAATGTTCTTAAGCTGTAATGACCTAGTATCTTTCCATTGGTAAATAAATTAGTTTGAAACAAATGAAAAGGTTGTCTTCTAAACACATATTAGGATTGAGCGGACAGCTGATATAACAGGAGCTGCGAATTGGGATGGAATATGCTTTTCAATCAAAGATAAGCGTCTCACGCCCGTTTTGATTGAATTTTCTGGAGGGATTCACTTTAATAGTACCACAGAAAAAGAGCAAAGAGATGAAAGCAAAATGATACGAAATATGGTTAAGCTCTTGGAATATGCCAAATATGTCAAAAAGCACAAGTCCCCTGTCCCGCAGTTCTACTGTCGTTTCTTCAGTAAGTTGATTGTGAACATACATACATACATATATATATATATGTATGGACATTCAAACCACAGCTAATATTTCTTTTAGCCAACCAGATTTTCTTTGAAGCCATATTTTTAGTTGACGAAGAAACTAGACTTGTAAAAAGAACTTTTTGCAAGATTCCCTGTCCGGTAACCCCACGCGAGCTAAAGATCTTTGCTGAAAACATTCCTGCTATGTTAAAATGGAAGCAGGCAATAATAAACTATGTGATCGAATCACAAAAGTGAAGAATAAAAACCATAGAATTAAAGAAATAAAAGTGCTTATGTTCTTTTACTTTTACTGGCTACCAACAACCGAGTCATTATTACTTTTTTTTTGTTTATTGTTTCAATATGTGTTCAAATGATCTTGCTTAAGTATAGAAATATTTTTCTTTTAATCTTTTGATTGCATTTTCTTCCACAGCCAAGGCTCCTCTGGCAGCTTATTCAAGTTTTACTGATACTAGAGTTTCGTTTGATTTTATATTATAATTAATAAGAGCAATGGTTACATATACATATGCTTCTTGTTGTTCAGTTGGCTTACAGTTGAGAATCCTAAACATGTCGTGATGATTGATTGTTTTTACGCGTAAAAACAATCAATCATCAGAAGAATAATAATGTACATTGGTACCAATTAGTAAAAGTCAATTAATTGAACAATGCCTATTAGGTACACATTACCTTTATCAAAAGTACAGACTACAGAAGACTCCCTGCATTCATATAAAGAAGTTTCATTCTTTATACGCAACGTTCGCATCCGGATGCCTTTTACAATGAAGCAAAAGGCCAGAGTCCAGAGCGTTAGCAGGGGGGACAATGTACCTTTTTGTTATTACATGTTGAAGTAATAACTAAGTGCACATCGTTGTTTGATGGTGTAGTCTAAAGGAACGCCATAATGGTGATAAGGGAATAACCATTACATATATTCGTTGTGACCGCAACGTCATCAAAACAGGCCCGGTCCGGCACAACGATGTCTGAGCTGGCACTTTTTTTTTGCAGTTCGAAATGATTATTGTAGAAAATCACAGGATTTAATACTCTGGATGCGTAACAAAGTTTCGTATGGACAACTTCTTTGTTTTCTTATAGACAATTGGTATATGTGCTGTGTTTTTTAATAGGCTTATATTCCCGTATAGGAAATTATGGCTAAAGTCCGTACCGCGTATTAAGCTCCTCCGAGTCGGCTAGTACTCTTCTTCGGCGGAGTTATTTACTTTTTTACAAATCTCAGAAAAAGAAAAAGAAAGAGAGTTTCCAGTACAAAGACTGTCAAGCAGATGCAATGTTCTTTAAACTTGTTAGTATTTGACCATGAAGATTTAAAGCAAATCGAATCAAATTTCTTGGGTAGCTTTAGATATACCGATGTACTTGGTTTATAGTCCAGCTTAATATATTAAGACTTACACGCACATATATATATGTAAGCAATGAAGAAAGTCTTTTAAAGCATAAATTGTTAGTGTGTAAAGTGTAGTGAGTGAATAAGTAAAATGAAATTAAATTAAAAATTTAAAAAAAAATGTGTGGAAAATAAAGAGACCGAGTTGCATCTTGGCTTGATTATTTTTTATTTATATTGTTAAAGAATATTAAAGTAAGAAATTATTTGTCATTAATTTATTTATTTTTTTGACGTCTTTTTTTTTATTGTCCTTACATTCCAAACCAACCAAGAAACCCCCTCTCTTTCTAGATACTCGTAGAATGAACGCTTTCCGTACCACTACTCGATTGGTAAAGACATTTGACAGTTGATATTTATTTATTTATTTATTTTTACTATTTCTATTATTATTACTATTATTGCTGCGTGCGTGTGTGCGTGTGTGCGTGTGTGCATATTCAAATATAGATTAGTATTAGTATTAGTATTATTATTATTATGACTTGAAAGAAAATATATATTGTATGCCTGTTAGTCTCTCTCTGTGTGTGTGTGTGTGTAAAAAGAAGAAGAAGAAGAAGAAGAAGAAGAAAAGATAATCTAACCAATGGAATGACAAGAATGAAATGAATGGAGAGAATGGAACAACAAGAGATACAGAATTGACTCTAATGTGTATGCATCTACAAAGAGTCATTAGAAATCTCTGGAATCCATGATTCCTAAAATAATAGGATATAGTATATAGATTGAGGGGAGAGGAAGAGAAGGTTTATTTCAGGGGGTGGGTACTGAGAGTGGAAGTTTAAATGGATCTACAAGTGAAGTGATTTGATATTTATTTTATGAAATACTATTACTTTTTCTATTTTCTTGATATTTTCTGTCAGGAAATCAAGCAGAGAACTTTTTGACTGATGCTTGAATGTATATAATTGATAGGCATTTGCCCGCCCTACTTTCCAGACTCGCATAGCAGCTCCCATGTCTGTCCGCTGGTTGTCTGACTCATTGCGCCAGAAATTAAACGAGGTGAGAAGCAGAAGATGGATGTCTAAGGACTGGTGCTAATGATCTTGTGCTTATTTGAATTAAGGATGTCAAATCTAGTGATATCGTCTTGTTTATGAAGGGTACTCCTGATCAGCCCATGGTAAGATTGTTGATTGAATTCTATACATGAAATTAAAACCACCAAAAAAAAATAGTGTGGATTCAGCAGAGCTACTGTTCAGATCCTTCAGGTCCAGGGTGTTGATTTTGACAAGCACGTCAAGGCCTTTAATGTGCTGGCTGATGATGATCTTAGAGAAGGTATCAAGGAATACTCTGAGTGGCCCACTATTCCCCAGGTCTATGTCAAGGGAGAGTTTGTTGGCGGTTGTGACATTATGTTGAACATGCACCAGTCAGGCGACCTTGAAGATCTTTTGGTCAAGGAAAACATTGTACCAGCCGAGCCAGAAGCCACCAAGGACTAGACGCACAACTTCTTTTATCTGTATAAAAATAAAAATAAATATAATATAATACAATACAATTTTTTATTTATTTATTTATTTAGAAATGAAAAATCTGCTTTTTTGTTTGTATTTGTTATCTTTGTAAGGTTGGATTACCTAAAAGAGAAAAACAGGAATAAAAAAAAAATTATAAGATTTTTTGATTTTTGATTTTTTGGTTCATGTTATCGAGGTACAAAATAAAATAGAAAACTCTATATTTTATTTTATTTTATTTTATTTGAAACAGAAAAATTTAATAATAAATAAATAAATAAATAAATAAAATAAGCATTTTTTTTTAAATTTTTTTTTTATCATATAAAATTTTCTTTTACTTCTTTTGCTTCTTTTACTTCTTCTTTAGCTTATAAATATCTTTTGTCTTTCTAGTCTTCTTTCTTACTTTCTATTGCCAATTCATTTGATAAGAATAAAGAATAAAGAATAAAGAAATATGCCACCTCAACTCAACATGAGTAACATTGATGCATCAGCTCCTCTTCTCCAGCACAAGCAGCACTTTTCTATCTCAACAGACCAGCTGTGTGATCTGATTGATTCTAGACAGCAATCATCATTAGAGAGACTGGGTGGAACAAAGACAATATGCGACGCATTGGAGGTTGATCCTACCATTGGTTTGTTGCCAGACGAATCGTTTGACCCCTGCTATGGTGTCATCAAATCTCGTCCAGATGAAGAGGGATTTGCAGACCGAAAGAGAGTCTTTGGCCGAAATACCATCCCAGATGCACCACCAAAATCATTATTATTTCTGGTCTGGCAAGCATACAACGATCAAACTCTAAGTACGCCTATTAATCTAGATATTTAGTTATTACCATTAAGGCTCTTATTACTGTAACAGAAGATACCGATAGGTTTCCTTTATTGAAATCTGTACTTACGCATGTGTAAATTATCTATATAGTTATGTTGACCATAGCAGCCATTGTGTCACTAGTGGCTGGCTTTTGGAATGATATGTCTGATAACCATCCCAAAGATGAACCAAAGATTGGATGGTAGGCGCTTTAATTCTATAAAAGAAAACTCAAACACCCTCCCCCTTTATTTATTTTATTAAAAAAAAAAAAAAGATTTGGTATTGTTCGCGTTTGAAACAAAACCTAAACTACTAACTAATTATCATTGCCATTTTGTATTGATTTACTTAGGGTCGATGGTGTAGCCATTCTTGCAGCCGTTGCTGTAGTAATCATTACAAGCAAGTCAATTCAAATAACCAATCATCGTCTTTTATAAACTTTCTTTTTCACTAAACTTTTTATATAAAAAAAAACAAAAACAAAATAGATGCAATCAATGACTATGAAAAAGAAAAGCAATTCAGAAAACTCAATGCCAAAAAGGAAGACCGTCCAGTAAAGGTATTTATCTATTTATTTCTTTTAAAAAAAATCGCAAGACTTTTTTTTTGCTGTTAATGTTACAGTTATTAAAGAAGACCTATTGATTATTATATTTGTTGCTGGTTTGATTTAGGTACTGCGAAGAGGAATGACCCAGCAGGTTCACGTCTGTGATATTGTTGTGGGTGATATAATGTTTATTGAGCCCGGTGATATGATTACGGTCGATTGTTTGTATCTTGAGGGGTAAGTGATAAACTTATTACCACTGTTTATAAGCACAAACACAAACACAAATGTTTATCAAATGTTTTCTAGACATAATGTTCATTGTGATGAATCTACTGCAACTGGAGAATCAAGAACAGTCAAGAAATCTAGTTTCCAGAACGGAGGGGACTGCTTCTTGTTAAGTGGCACCAAGATCCTGCAAGGAGTGGCAAAGGTAATAGAACAAGATATATAGATATTTATATAGGTAGATTACACAAAGAAATCATGGGAAATTGTGTGGAAATTAGTAATGAATTTCCTAATAAAGGTCGTCGTCGTTGCTGTCGGGGTGCATTCATTTTACGGTCGGGCCATGACGGTAAGCATCTCCATCTTTCCTAATGTTTACCCACTTGATTGTCTTGATGACAAGCATTACTGTTCTCATTAAAAAGTATTCATCAATTGTTACCCTTACGCGTGTCTGTATTTATCTGTATAGCTTATGAGAAATGCCGAAGAAGAACAGACGCCTTTACAGGCAAAGCTCAACACACTTGCTGATCAGATTGCAAAATTTGGATGCATTGCTGCTGGTTTGATGCTAATGTATGTACCACAACCTTTCACAGTAACACAAGCATATTCGCTCTCTCTCTCTAACTTATATGTTGTATATGTTGTTGTGTTTTTATTTATTTATTTGTTTATTTGTTTTTTAATTTACCTATTCTTGGCTTACTCAACCTCTTTACCCCCCTTTTTTTAACTTTTTTTTTGTCAACAAATATCAACAATGGAAACCAATACAGTGTTCTCGTATTGAAACTAGTCGTTCAAAGCGTTTGGAGTGGTCATTGGTTACCTCCCACTGAATTGACAGCGGAATTGGTTGGCATCGTTATCCAGGCAATCACTATCATTGTTGTAGCTGTAAGTCAAATGGCGTGAGCCTGTTGCACAACATCTAACAAACCACATATATTTATTCCCTTTTTGTGTTCAGGTACCTGAGGGACTTCCAATGGCCGTCACCTTGGCTTTAGCGTTTGCCACTACTGAAATGTTAAAGGACAATAATTTGGTGCGACATTTATCTGCATGGTATTTATCAAACGAGACGATGATCAAACGCACACACTCAACCCTCACAATTGAACTTTTTTTATATATTTTCATTAGTGAAACTATGGGTAACGCAACTGCTGTATGTTCCGACAAGACTGGTACCCTTACCGAGAATAAGATGACGCTTGTGAGGGCAAGTGTGGGCCAACACCAATTCGTGAAACCTTCGGAGATTCCTGGCTGGCAGTTGCAAGCAAACCCTATGGTACTGGGCTTGGCGGTCGAGGGCATTTCGGTCAATTCGACTGCAGTAGAAGGCATTTCTCTCAAAGGTCACTTGCAGATAGTTGGTTCAACAACAGAGCGTGCCTTGCTTGAGTTTATCCGAAGACTAGGATATGATTACCATCAACAAAGGTATGTATACATGTATATATAATATACATATATGTGCACATGATTTAATTAATAATATTATTAATATTATTAATATTAATTATATCGTTTTTTTTTCTGGCATTTTAAAGAGCTTCTAGTAGATTAGCCTCTGTTTATCCATTCAATTCAACCGCAAAATCTATGACTAGTATCATTGAGATTAACGAGAGCAATGTAAAATCTCCTGATCAGTCGTACTACAGACAATACACAAAGGGTAAGCTTTACATTTTGTTTCCCTTCTTTGCGTTTCAAGTCTATACACACATACACAAAAACAAATAAATAAATAAATAAATAAATAACACACAACAATAGGCGCAACCGAAACTATCATCAAAAACTGTACACACTACATTGACGCACAAGGCGAAATTCAAATTCTGGACGCCAATACTAGATTAGAGCATGAAATTCGCTTAAACGAATACGCCAAAAAAGCCCTTCGTACTCTAGGTCTTGCCTACCGTGACATTAATAAGGAAACATATGCTGGCAAGTATATCATTTTTATTTTATTTTATTTTATATACTTATTTTTAAATATATACATATATATATATACATAGGTCTTGATCCTGATAATGCACCAGTGACAAACCTTGTCTTGATTGGAATTGTCGGTATACAGGATCAACTTCGACCAGGAGTAATTGAGTCTGTTCAAGCATTCAGACGTGCCGGTGTATTCATTCGCATGGTAAGATTTTCAATTATATAATACTTCCGTGTTTTGGGTTTTTTATTTTGATTTGAATTTGGGCTAACTGTTATCATTGTTTGTTTCTCTTTCTATCTTTTGATCTTGATCTTGGTTAGATTACAGGTGATAATCTGGAAACTGCAAAGGCAATTGGAAAGGAATGTGGTATCTTGACACCAGGTGGAGTTGCTATGACTGGCCCAGAGTTCCGTGCACTTTCTTCTACTGAACAGCTCAAAGTACTTCCTCGCCTTCAAATCCTTGCCCGCTCTTCTCCTATTGACAAGGTTGGTTGAATAAACCATTGTTTGTTATTCTTTTGTTAAACCTCCTTTTTTTATATTTTATTCAAGACGATTGTTGTGTCAAGGCTCCAGGCTCTAGATGAGATTGTGGCCATGACAGGGGATGGTACAAACGACGGTCCTGCTCTCAAGATGGCCAATGTTGGATTTGCAATGGGCGTCAGTGGAACCGAGGTTGCCAAAGAAGCATCTGACATTATCCTGATGGACGACAACTTTTCTTCGATCCTCCAGGCTCTCAAGTGGGGCCGAGCAGTGAACGACGGCGTACGAAAATTCCTGACCTTTCAGCTCACGGTCAACATTGCCGCAGTCGTTCTGTCGTTCGTGAGTGCGCTAGTGTCTGAAACTTCAGAAAGTATCCTCAGTGCTGTCCAGCTCCTGTGGGTCAACATGATCATGGACACTTTTGCCGCATTGGCACTGGCTACCGAGCCACTGACGAATGATCTTGTTGATCGCAAGCCGCTCAGAAAGGATAGCAGTCTGATAAACTGGCGCATGAGTCGTATGATTGTCGGACAGGCCGTCTTTCAGATCGTGATCAACCTTGTCCTGCTGTTTCACGGAGCAGAAGTATTCGGTCTCACCGATTCTGATGCGGACACAAAGATTTTGCGCACAATGGTGTTTAATGTGTTTGTGTTCATGCAAGTATTCAACGAGCTCAACTGCAGGTAAGAGAACCCTCTTTATTTTATTGTAATGATACTTTTGCGTTATTATCTTGATCTACGTATATTACAAACCCTCAATACTAAATTGCCATTATTATCATTATCATTTTGATTACTCTCTCTCTCTCTCTACCTTCATTGGAAATTGAAACAAAACAAAACAAACCAAACCAAAAAAAAAAGACGTATTGATGACAATATCAATGTTTTCCGAGGTATCCGGCACGACTTTTTGTTCCTGGTGATGCAGACTTTGGTAGTTGTCAGCCAGGTAGCAATCATTACCTGGGGTGGTATGGCCTTCAAGACCGTGTCTCTGACGGCTACCCAATGGCTTTTTACTATTGGCATTGGCGCCATTTCTTTACCGGTCGGCACATTGATTCGTCTCTTGCCCAGTCAGATGCCTTACCTGTGGAGTGAGAACAAGGATGATGAATTTGTACATGTGGTGAGCTACCCAAGACTCTTGTGGGAATCAGCCATTACCAGAATCCTTCAGAGCATCAAGTCATTCTCTTCTGGTCCAAAGTCATCCGCTGCTGCTATTGCAAGAGCAGCGGCAGAAGAAGGGGAATATATCACGGATGATTTAAAAGTCGGTGAACCTTCATATTACTATGGCCATGGCGTAACAGATGCGGCCAGAAAAAAGTCATAAGTAATATTCTAGTCTGCTTTTATCCTTCTTCCTCTTCTTTTTTATTTTCTTTGACCAGTTGTTTGGCTTATGCTTGAAAATACGAAACTATTGTTTCCTTCTTCTTTTTAATTTTTTTTTTACATATACATATACATATTACTTACCAAAACTTGTATCATATAACCCATAAAAATATATATATATATATATCTATAATATAAAGACCAATCAAATTTAACTTCAAAGAATACATATATATATATTAGATGATAATGCATTTGATACACCTAGGCTGTAAAGACAAATGCTAAAAGAAATTTAAAACCATATTGAGTATGGGTTATATGACCTTTATCTTGCTAAAATAATAATTTATGCTTTTTTTTTTCATAGACCTATGTAATCTTTATATCATACGAGATGCCTTGAACAATTTATCATTAGATATTTCTGTATAATAACAGGCAATTCTAAGATGCTCTTTACCCACACACTTATACATCATATATATATATATATATATATTCAAGATAGAAAGACATTTTTTTTAGTGGTAATGATTACCGTGTGTAGGACAAGAACAAGTATTTTTTTTAATAGCAGCAAAGAAGTGGAAAAAAAACAAGCTTATTTTTGTTCTTATAAAAGATCGTTTATATATTAAGATAATAAAGCAAGACAATGAATGAGGTTTATTTATTTGGTGCAAAAGAAAATAAGGTAAAATGGAAGAGACTAAAATAAAGTTGATGGAGTATAAGCAGTAAAGAATGTTGTGTGGGCGTATATATTGTTCTTGTGTGTGTTTTTTGTATGTACATGTATTTCTTGTGGTGTTTGGCTTTATCTAATTAAACAAGAATACGAGTGCGTGGATTTGTGTAATGAATCGTCTGGGCGTAGTTTACTGTTTGTACAAATTATACATCAAGATCCTCAAACTGGGAATCATACAAGATGTTTACGATATCCATAGATCGGTTTTCAATCTCGTACAATACGTCTGACCGAATGGCCTGGATGTGATAATCAATTGGGTTCTCGACACAAGGAGTTACAGAGAGATCAACACTGGTCTTTGCAGACTGGAGCCAGAGACCCTTGGAGTGAATCGGAGAGTTAGTCAATCCAAAGATGCTATCTATAGATTGTTGAAGAAGAACGGCTGCCGAGCCTGCCGATCCGGCTTCAGCTGTTGTGGCCATACTTGGCTCTCTAAAGAACGAGTGGAGGTCACAATACGGCAAATCATTTTCGATGTTCTTCATGAGACTGTATCGATCGATAACAGCAGCCAGTTGGTCCGAAACGACCTGGTTGAGAGAAAATACGAGTGCCGCAATGTCTTCGAACGAGGTCTCTGGATCGACGGCGGTCTCTGAGTTCCGGTTAAATGCATCAAGCAATATCAGGTTCTCATCCACGTGTTTTTCGATTGAGCTATACACGTGCTGGCTCATTGCTTGTACGTTGTTTGCAACAGAGTTCTCGATTTTGTGCACGCATGAAGCTATTTTAATATATTATATGTTAGGGGAAAAGAGAGTGCTATAGATTCTGCTTATAACATTAATAGTACTTACCATGAGATTCTTCTGTTGTAAGATAATTTACAGTAAAAGGAGAGTTTGGTTGGCTGGTACGAACCAAATGTTCCAAAATCTCTTCGGTATGTGCAGTAAATACTTCTTCAACGACATTTTCATAGAAATCAAGCACTTGGTTACGCGTGGCATAGTCATCTACGAAAGCCCATTCGACAGAAGTTGTTGGTTCGACTCGAGACTTGCTTTTGTCGTGGATTGGTGCGGCCAATACGGTGAGAGACACCAAAGAGGCGATTATAAAGAGAGATTTTTGTGTACTAAACATTATTGGCTGTTTGCAAAGGAAGAGAGAAGAGGCTTGAGTAAAGAAGTGAGAGAAGAGATGAAAAACCAAAACCAAAAAAAAAATTGGTCTCTTTATATAGAGAAATTAATCCAATTTGACGTCTGTGCATGACTTTTCCTTAGCCAAGCTTTTATAGTATATTTGGTAATTGATATCGCAATAATTTATTATATTAAGTCTTTTCCTTTTATATATAAATATTATAAGACATACACACACAGAGAGAGAGAGAGAGAGTATGTATCTGATGTTGACCCCAATTTATTTATATTATGCTTGTAAGCTTTATAATAGAGTAATCATAATCATATATATATAAAAGTAAAATAAAAGTTTCTTTTTATGGATCATTTCTCCGCCAATAAAATAATATCATTAATAACAAATAATGATACCGAAGATTGTATGTATGTATATATGTATTTGATGGGTCACCTTTCTTTTCTGTTACCTTGGTGATGAATTATTAACGTATTTGTACCTCTACAAGGATAAATGCTTTTTTTTTGAAATTTTGAAATAAGAAAATAATGTAATTTTATAAGAACATAAAAGAAAAATAAAATAATCTTCGTCATCATTTTAACATGTCTTGTATTAAATCAACAGAATCAACAAAGTCCACAAACAAGTCTAGACCTGAGATGGTTACTACTCTTTTTAATTTTTTTTTTAAAAAAAGAAAGAAGCCTTTATTTCTGCAAAGTTACATTATAGGAAAGGTTTAATCAAACATATTAATGTTAATATTGATATTGATATATATGATATATACACTAGAACACCAATCAACCAACCAATCAACCAGTCTGTACACCTTATTTTACCCTCATACCTGTTAAATATATAAAAGTCCTTGATTTCTTGGCAGTGTAATGAGCTACACACTTGGATAGTACAAGCAAAATTATAGAACATTGTAAATCTTCCAAGCCTGTATATAACCATAACAACAACAACAACAACAACAATAATAATAATAATAATAGGCTTTTTATTTTATTTTTCTTATGTTTCTTTTGGAATAAAATCTTACGCCAGATAAATAATGTTATCATTCTATATATATCTGTCAACATAGAGACCAAAGGCTTAGTATTCTTTATAGGCCACACACAGATGAGAATACGATACTGTGAGGGTATTGATTTTGTGGACCAAAAATAAATAGTGAAAGGTAGTCAAAATAATCATAATTTCATATGTAACACACACACATGCTGATTTTTATTTTTCTTTTTCTTTTTGTTTTTAATACCTTTGTCCATGAAGCGGGATTTCCAAGCGTCTGCAAAATTACACAAAAACATTGCCCTACATAGATACAAATGAACACCAAATAGTATAATACATACGACATTGAATAGAAGGTGCGATTGTTAGAAGTACCATGCTTCAATAAGACTGTTGCTTTTTTCTTTCTCAAAAGTCCTTGACGTTTTTTTCTCTCTATCATACAAAATATGTGTCCAGTTTTTATATATATTAAATATTAAATATTGAGATTTAATATGCCAACCTCAATCTTGGAACTCTAAGCCAATATAAGCAAATAATGTTCTATAAAATTTCCATAAATGTAAATTATATTTCTGTGTATAAATATTAAAAACACAGATAAACCTATTATAGATAGTTTTTTTATTTATTTATTTGAGAAAAAATAAATAAACATAAATGACAAGCAAAGAAAAGAAAAAAGATCTTCAGCCCAAGTATACAATGCTTCTGTTTTTGTACTTTTTTTTTAAAAAAAATAAATAAAAAAAAAATTGGTATCATTCTTTGCTGTTTGCTGGTCTTTATAATTAAAGGTTTTTCTTTCACTTGAATAGAGTCCTTGAAGAGGATATCTCATCGAAAGTCTGGAAAATGTTTAATGATTGGAAATTAAAACCCATGGTCCCTATATATCTAATTATATAAAATACTCGGAATGTATATATTTAGACTTCTTCAACTCAAGTTATACAAATGGTTCATAATTCAAAAGAAAATCACATCACATCATAATATAGTCTCTCTATAAATAAAGAAGTGTATAGAATATGGAAATTGCACATACCCAAGATCCCCTAAAAATTTAGAATTTTGCATCTTATTACAAGTCTTTATTTATTTGAGATATATCACCATCAGCACCTCCAACTTAATTCTAATAAAAGCATGTACTCGTCACATTGCTTTCTCTGTTTTCTGTACCCACCACTCTCACACATGTGTTTTTCTTCTTCTTCTTCGGCATCATCCACCCAACTCATATTCCAGCAATTGATTTTACTCTTTTTATATATTTATATATATGGTAATGTTTGTGGATGACTTTATACTCCGCGTTTGTGACTGAGATTTAAAACAGCCTCAGTGGGGGCGCATTTTGCGAACAGATGTTGTGCTCGTTAAATGGCAAATCACACATACACGCATACACACAATTATCCACATATAAATATAAGTTAAATGAGGTTATGTTACGCTTGTACAACAATAAGAGAAAAAAGAAATAAACTGCACTTGTAACCTTAGATTATTTGTGGCCAAGAGATGAACATATGGACCGGCCCACTCCACAAAAGTTGTATGGGTCTTTTGTTTCATGATAAGCAAATACAATGGTATTTTGATATTTAATATCAATATCAATAATAATAAGCAGGATACTGAAGATCATTTCAACAAGACTTTTATTTTTTATATATACATACATACATACATTGATCTATGTAAAGATGACCGTATTTATTTAAAGGGAAAAGAATGTGCTTTTCTGTTTCTTTATGTAGGATCACCGACACATAAAATCTCGAGTTTTAAGGTAATACAATCGTAAAACAGAAGGCTTGTCATTCTAGTATATATATATATATATATATTTATATATATATATGTAATTGAATTTAAAGATCAAAGATCAACTTCTTTTAATGATAATATAAATACATGACAATTGATACTTCTTGTCATCGTTCTTATATATATGTATATATGCACAAAGCGATAATAACAAGTAGTCAAGCTACAAGCCTAACGTCTTTCTTCTTTTCTTTCTTTTTTAAGAACATAATAATGATATTTTAGGGTGTACATAAAATATTTAATAGACTGAGAATCATCAATAATAATAATAATAATAAAAAAGAACCAATAAATTAATGCACTATTTTTTTTAATGTTTGACGAACCTTCGTTTCAATGTATATTGTGCTAATTATTTTTGCTATAACTATTCTCCATTATACTATGAAATATTATTATTTTCTTAAAAATAAAGAAACCACCATAATGAGTTTAATTCATGGCCTTTATCATTATTATCATTTTTCTCTTTTTAAATAATGCATATTGAGTATAAAACACTGATTACTACTACCACTTTTATTATTATTATTATTAACATCATTGCATTTTTTTTTAAAAAAAAAATAAACTGACATCAGCTTTTGGCCCTTGAACTATTCATTACACTTCTTTGATTGAGTTTACTATAGTAACAGTAGATATATTGTGTCACTTTTTTCTTTAAAAAAATTATAATTTTGTTGTTAATCAAGTACAAGACAAAAGCTGTTGGTTTAGTGTATATTAGAATATTCTTATGATCCTGTCAAAACCAACCCAAGGCATATTAATGAAGTGCTCCAGAATGGACTTTGAGTTTCTTACCTTTCTCTCTTAAAGATCTATATGCGTGGGTGTGTATTTGATAAGGTCTGTTATTTTCAGAACACAAGATTATTTTTTATATATGGGATACGCACCTACCTATTATTGATCTATAGAGAATTAAGAATAATAATAATTGATAAGATAAAAGACTTTGAATCTTTATATATATATATATATATAAAGACATTATTAGCCGAAATCAACAGTTGCTATTAAAAAAAATGGTCCAACGATATATTTATTTTTGGTTCTTCTTCTAAATACAAATAACATACATATCTTTTAATGCAAAGTGGCTGAGAAAATGCTCCGAGAAGATACCGTAAAAGCGAGCTAGTTAACTCATGTTGTATGTAAATATAAAAGTAAAAAATGATATATATATACATACATACATACATACATAAAAATAGGTACTGAAAATTTGACTCGATCTTATACTTTTGGTTATCTAAACAGCTGATTTCTCATTATGATATGAAATTAAACATCAACTTAGATATATTTACATAGTGGGCCGTAAAATTCTTTGTTTAGGTTAATTTATAAATGGTATTGCTATGTGGGCGTATAAGTAGATATAGTGTTTGTAGGAAATACTAGCTCAGGGATTAACAAGTAGATAGGAATATGTGTAGATAGTCTGTATACTAAGGAAAAAAAGGATTAAATTTTATAAAAATGACAGTTGAAATTATTAAAATATAATTATTTTATATCTTAATACCATGTTCCTATTACACATACAGACACATAGGCAAACACATATATTATACAATTGTGTCATGAAAATTTATTTAATAATAATAATAATGAAAAAAAAAATATAAGAAGAAGAGGGAAGCATGAGTTGTAGCATACTAGGTAGGGTTCATAGTAATTGAAAGCACTCGATGAAATAAAGTAAAGTAAAATAAAATAAAAGAAATGAAATACATATACTTACTCTGGTCTTTTAGACGCTTTTTAGAGTATTACAATTATGTTTTTTTTTGTATGTGTGTTTGTGGATAAAGAATAGGAAGAGAGAAAATGAAAGTGTGTAAAAGAGAAGGGGGTAAGGAAGAAGAAGAAGAAGAATAAGAAGAATAAGAATCAGTGATAAAGAGAGGGAGAGGAAAAGAGAGAGATATGGATAGGTGGATAGATAAAAGAAGAAGAAGAAATCAACAACAAAAAATAAAGATGAGGATAAAAAATAAGATAAAGATAAAGATGAAAAAAAAAGGTAATCCTGAGATTGGCATGTGCATTGATAGTGTAGAAAGAAATACAAATTTACATAAAGGAAACCCAACTGTAGGTAGTTTCAATTTATAAAGTCAAAGAAAGCCTATCAAGTAAAAAGAATAGACAGATCAATACATCTTCTTATTCACCAATCGTACCATATCAACCAATAGCAACTCAAAAGAACCTTCTATTACCCTTAGCCTTCTTCTTATGTGTCATTAGTACTCACCATCTTTCTCTGCAGTCAACGGCATATTTACGAACAAGCCGCTTCTTGTCATCCAAGGATCTGCAAAGTCGCTTGACTACAATGGGTGCATGTGGCGATAGGGTTGTTGGCTTAAATTTATCTGGGATATCCTTTAGACATTGGATAGATTCGATTCGAACGGGCAAGGAGAGGTTGTGAGCAGGATCAGCCGAGTGTAGCAGTCCATCGATAGTGGGTGATGTGGCGTGTTCGATCTTTTCTGGAGAAGTGGCAATAATGACGCGTGTTACTTTGATCATAGACAAGGAGAGGTTGGAGTCAGACAATAAAAGGGAGGCATTGATAGAGGTAATAAGCTACATAGATAACAAACAATTAGTACTTTAATTCACCCCAATAAAAAACTGTTGATAATTTAATTACCTTTGATGATTCACTAGCAACTACAGAATCAGGTACGTTCACGAGCAAACAAGAGAGTGCGGTAAAGTAATTGATTTTGGAGTCTATTGAATGGTTGGGTAAATCGTTAATAAGTAAGTCTTATACAACGCATATATGTTTTGTTTGAATAATCACTCACCTGCAGAAGATATATTTGCTGTCTCGATGAGTTTTGGGGCCAAGTAGTTGAAGACGCGTTGTCTGTAAAGAATCTATATTATTAAAAGAAATCAAGCAAGTCAGTCAGTCAGTCAGTCAGTCATTAAAACAAAAAAGAATGATGTATTATACACATTATAGAGATTTGTACTTACAGAAACATTTGCATAGGATTTTTTGTTGAGCATAAGTTCGTCGTCTTGAAGGATAGTAGAAAAATGATTTGCAGCCTCGCGCCCCACATCAGGTAATTGGCATTGGTTTGCAATAATGTCAAGTATCTGGAAACCCAAAGCATGTCCTTGAATAACGAGTGCCTTGGCCAACTTTATAACACACACGTTTTTTTATATATATAGAAAATTGATTGTGTACAAAGGTTAGTAAATAAAAAGATCATGATTATAATAAATCCCATGTATTTTTTTTGTATATGTATAATGGTACTTGTTTGTACGATTAAAGAGATTAAAATTTTGATTATTATTAACAAAGAAACTCACCCATGTTAGAAGCAATAACCCAGCCTTCTTTACTTTGATATCCGAGGATTCCAAGGCAGGAATAAGATAGGTAGGAATAATATTGTCCACACAAGACATTACACTTTCTATAAAAAAAACCAAAACAAAAAAAGTTGAGTAAGTAATTGCTGGATAATAAAATAATAAAAGTATTAGTTATTTACCATTTCCCCACTTGTTTACAATTGAGGCAAAGGATTTTGTCAACGCTAGACTCTTGGCACTACATGGAGTATTTAACGCAGCCTGGACAAGTCCTTGGATGAATTCACTATAAGATGGGATAGGAAGAACAACCTTTATAGATATAAATCTTGTTAATCTTTATTACAATAAAGAAAAATAATAATTCCACAGGGAAATTTCTTGGATATTTTCAAGGCATTTTTTTTAAAAAAAAAGAAGAAAAAGGAATACTTGCATCTTTTCGGCAGTTTCCAATTATGGCTGCAAATAACAATGTAATGTCGACTGTGGGGGCTAATATGGGCATATTCTAATATTTATAAACAATAGAATTCAAAGAATCAATATGTGGCAATAATAATAACAATGTCAAATTCATATTCATAAGTAACTTACGGTTGATAAAGGAAAGAGACGAAGGGTAGGATCACTTGTAGATTGAAGGTTAACAGCTGTCAGATCACCATTAACAAAAAGACGGAACGCAATTGCAGTCAGTGCTGTTTGATGACTTCAAAAAAAATAGACAAAGATTAAAATTAAAACCAAAACCAAAACCAAATAGAAATCATGACTTTAATGTATATCTATTTATTTATTTTACCTTGAATTGGAGTTCTTTACGACTCCAGCCACAAAGAGCGACAATATATCGACAAGTTGGGTATCGAGTAGCCATGAACCTGGATAGTGAAGAGTAGATTTGATACACTCTGACATAATGTGAGGGAAAAAAATACGTTGTCCTAGTTGCATAGTTTTTGGGTCTTTTGGGGCCATAGTTTGAAATAAATTGAGCATAGTTTTAGCCAACGCGGAAACGTAGTCTCGCGACTGGTCTAAATAACAACAAATAAAATATATAGAAAATAGAGATGTGCGTGAGTGTGGGAGTGCAATTTTTGTAAGAGTATGGACTAACCAGATAGACGGCAGGACTTATCAAATTTGTCCAATAGAGAAGAGGCAACGATGGTGTTGAAAATGGTGGGGTTGATCGTCAAGTATTCGACGGCTTCAAGGGTACTATGGTAGTTGCTGTTGTCTGGTTTCTGGTGTCCTGGAAGTAGTCTCCACAGGAGTGGGAAGGTGTATTTGGAGAGTGCAGGGAGACTCAACTTTGCTAATACAGAAAGGGAAGAGAGAACAAGCGCTCTATATACGCACAGACACGCATGGATCGAGTATACACCAAACACAGTAATAAGATCATTAGTATATGTATATGTAGTAGCATATAAAAAGATTTATTTTTATGTACCTTAATTCACCGTCTGTGTCTGGAATCAACTGGGTGAGATGCAATACAAGTTTCTCCATCTTGATACAAAAAGAATGAGATCGAGGAAATAGCTTCTAATATATATATATATATATATATATTGTTTACCTCTTCTGCCGACAAGAATTGCTTCATAACAACCATTTGGCGAATTCCTTTCAAGGCAGACATTCGACAGACACGTCCTTCATCAGAACGAATATTCAAAGATGTGATAAAGATATCCAACAGCGGTTTCTTGTAAGAAAGCAAAGGGGTCTGGAAATCTCGATCTGATAATGATATAGCAAATGATAATATTAGAGAATAATAGTAATATACAAAAAAAAAGATACTCACCAAATCCAATATCCTCGATTGAGCCATAAAGACTCTTACTTGCAAATAGAATCTCGATAAAGATATCAAGAACAGCGAGCTGTCGACTGAGAGAATTGGCATCTTTAAACATATTGTGAAGGATAGGGAAGGTCGTATGTACTACAGATGTACAAGCAGGATCTATAATACAAAATAATACAATTAAAAAAAAAGGTCGAGCCAAAATAAATAAATAAATTATGCAATGTTTTTTGTTTGTTTTGTTTTGTTTTGTTTTTGTTTTTGTTTTTGTTTCTTACCTGATGCAGAGGCGGCAGAACGTAGAATCAATGCTGCAGCTTTTGCATATTTGAGTTCGGGTTCGTTAAGTTTCTCGACGCATTGGGATAGTAAGGCATCAATGGTTTTCTCTACAGGATCTCTGATGTTGGCTATGCTGACACCAGTTCCTAGAGTAGCCACAACATTATGAATGGTCTTGAGAGCTGTGGCCTCCATTGAGGTCTCGGTTGCATGATAGACCTTTATTATTAATAATATTTACAAGTAAATATATACGTATAGAAATATAGAAAAAAAATAAAAAGATTGCTTAGTAAATTGATTGTTTTAAAATAATTATGTGTATATTTACTTCGTTTACGAGGGCATCGAATATATCTTTTGCGTGTGGTAAGAGAGCGTGTGCACCGTACGCGGGAGCGCAAAGGCCAATTGTTTCCATGGCATCTTTCTATTAAGGTAACAGATACCATATAAATTTTCTAGGTCAGTCTTAACCATCATCTAGACCAAGGCACGTGTTTTGGTGACGAGATTATCATTATCGTCACAAATCACCATCACCATCACCATCACTACCGTTTTTTTTTTCCTTTTTTTCTTCTTCTTATTTCTCTCTTTGTACCTTGGCACTTCCAGTCGTATTCAATAGTTTTTCTGCTAGTAAAGGAGTAGCATAGTTTGCAAAATAAGGTGTGGCAGCCAAGCAACGTCTAGATGAAAAGAAGTATAAAGTAAGAATTTAAGAACGGTAGTTTTGATTAATTATATATGGTATATTTGGGTCAACTAGTGCTATATGGCTATTTTGTGTGTGTATTTGTGTGATCGTGTACCTGAGGCTGTCCTTCAGGTCTTCGGTGGTGATACTGAACGGGTCATTAATCGGGGCGTTAAAACTTATTGGGAAATAGCAAAAGAGCACGTCAAATAAATCCTACAATAAATTTCATCCAAAAAAGAAAATAGAGAAAAAAATAAAAAATAAAAATATATATATATATATATATATATAAAAGAAGAAGGGAGAAAGAGAGAGAGAGAGAGAGAGAAATAAAATAAAATAAAATACACGGTAATAATAACAATAGTAAGAATAATAAACAAAACAAAACAAAAAATTACAAGAAGTAAACATAAGCATTAATAAAATTCACCCTTATTTTACCGCCACCTCCTTATTCTTCTCTTACTAGTTTGATTTTTTGTATGTCTTTACTTACTTCAACATGCTGTGAAATGTCAAATTTTTCAATGATGAATCGAACAATTTCAAATGCAATCACAAGATTACGTGGATCCTTTTCACCATCCATAAAAGCTACGAAGCTACCAATAAAGTTCACTCTTGCACGTTGTAGATCTATTTAAAATGCAATATAATATAAAATAAGTAAGTAAATAAATAAATGCCCTTTTTTTATCAGATCTGTCATTATTAATAATAGATGATAGATAATTGATAAAAAAAATTGATGTAATGATGTAATAGTATAATAATGCCATATATACGTATATTTACCGGAAGTGTAAGTCTGAAGAAGCTTGTTGAGTAGTGAGAATATCTTGTGGCGAGTTCCCTGAGGTTGTTTTTTCTGGCCAATGTGTCGAAAGATTCTAATATATATATATATATATATATATGAAAATTTAATAATTATTATAATTTTTTTCAATCAAAATAATAATAATGATGTATAGCAACACTAGCAATAAAGAATAAAATTGGTTCCAAGAAGGACTATTGAAAAATAAAGAAAAGAAAAGGTCTACTACACGAGGACTTTTTTCTTTCTTTCTTTCTTTCTTTCTTACGATTGACATAACATGACAGCGTAATGGCCATCGAAATGAGGTGTTGAGCATAGGACATCAACTAGATCAAGAAGACGGAGAACTGATGTAGAGTCATTTAAACGGTCGCATGAGAATGACATCAACACCTCGACTATAGAAAAAGAAAGAAAAAGAAACAGACAAGCATTAGATTATTTTTTTTAATTCTTCTTTTGTTCGTTGTTGATGTCTATCGTATCTAATGATATGTTACCTGTCTCATAATCAAGAGAGGAACGACTATGAGTTGTGACCTGGGTAAGTAATTCGACACCTGTACCATCAAAGAAAATTAGGTATGCAGATACACATGTATATATATAAAATATAAAGCGTAGAATGTGTCTGATATCAAAGGCTAGATTTGAATAGTATATGCATATATATATATGTGTGTGTGTGTGTGTAGCACACTTGGTGTCTATATGAATAGTATCGTTCGTGTACAGATCTTTAAAGAATGTATACATGTATACATGTGTCGTGTGTGTCGTGTGTGTGTACGTGTACGTGTGTGTGTACGTGTACGTGTGTATATATGTGTGTGTGCGTGTGTACGTGTGTGTGCGTGTGTACGTGTGTGTGCGTGTATGTGTGTATGTGTGTGCGCGAGTGTATATGCGTATGTGTGTAAGCTATATTTCTTACATTTTCCTCGGTGAATTTCATCCTTCCAATAATTTGAGAGAAACTTGACAAGATCTGATAACCCTGTCGAGCTTTTTGTTGTCACTATAATATATAAATAAAAATTCCACGGCGCATTTTGTGTGAATAAATTTTTGCTTTTTTTTTATTATTTTATTTTATTTTTATTTTATTTTTCATTAATTCATAAGAATAAAGAAAAAACTCAATATAATATTAATATTAATTACTATTATTATTATTATTATTACTTAATAAAACGTGAGCCATGAAGGACGCATCGATTTCATTACGACTTGAAAGAATCCAGTCCTTGACAAGGTCATCATGGAGCTGTTGTTCTGGTACATTCATTTAGTATTTAAAAATAAATAAAAAATAATAAATGAAAAAAAAAAATAGTACGAAGAAAAAAAAAAAAAAAGAGGGGGGGAGTTTTTGCTTAGTGCGAGACAAAAAAAGAAGGGGAACGTTATCAGATTTTGCAAACAAGTTGAGTTTTATCAGATCTCCAGTCACATTATAAACACCGCTCCAGACGATAGAAAAAGAAAGGGAGAAAGGGAGAAAGGGAGAAAGAAGGAAAGAATTTCTGGATGGTGTGCCAGCCAAAAGATGAGTAGTACAACAGATCTCGAGTGGCTACTGCACGCCGTGTACATCCGAGGAAAGGAAACAAAAAACAAGGGGTGGGGAACGAGGGGCGGGGTGAAAGGAATAGATAAAGACACACACACACACATACACACAGATAGATAGATAGATGTTAAGAGAGAAAATGGAAACCTTGTATTCATCAAAAAAAAATAAAAAAGAAAATACTAAACCCAAAGGAACATTTTCTTACTATTTTATTCATCTATATAAAATTTCATTTACTTTGTAGTTTTACCATTGATCCTTATAACTCTAGTCTGGGTGGTAATTTTTTTTTCTCTCTCTCTCTCTCTTTATTTATTTCCCATTATTAAATGCATAGATATATATATTAATATTACGTTATTGACAGCCACAAGAATGACTAAAATAATATTAATTGAGATTATCATAATGATATTCAAATAACAATAATAATGATTATTTTATTTTGCTTTATTTTGGTTGCGCACAGTCCCCTTGGTGATAAATAAGAGATTTTTTTTTAAATATATACTACTTTATCGGTGCTTGTCACTACTTGTCATTGCTTGTCAATTTGGTTTGACTTGACTGGCTGATACCATATTAGGATCTACCAATGAGTACAAGAACAGTCAGATCATAAACAAAGAAGAGGCAGGAATAGGAAGTAAAGGAGGAAAGGAAATGAGGGAAAGGGGATTGGGGGTGATGTAGGGACTTCCGAAGTTCGATTTAGAATGATTGACAATAACCAAAATAGTAAAAAAAAAAACAAGAAATATATAAATATATATATATATTTAAAAAAAAGGGAAAAAAATAAACCTTGAGATGCGTATATTTATAAATACTTTCTTAATATTAAGATTGGTTGGTTGTCTAGGTGATTGATTGATTGATTGATTGATTGATTGATTAATAAATCTCGATTTTAAGACAAAAAAGAAAAAAAAAGAGATCTGATAATTATATAATACAAAATATACACACCAAACAAATCCACATACAAACAAACACAAATCTTGAGCCCAAACTGTGGCTAATTTTTATACTGTATTATATGATAGAATTATATGATATAATATGATATTGTATTATATTTATATGAGTATTTTTTTCTCACAATCATTTCGTTTGTTTAACCAATCAATCAAAAAGGAACAAGACAGCTCCCTTGAAAAAAAAAACCAAAACCAAAAAATCAAAAAACCAATTTGACTTTTTTTTTTTTTCAACAAAAAAAGTAAGAAAATTATAGAGGTAAAAAAAAAGAAAGAAAGAAAGAAAGAGAGAGAGAGAACGAAGGAAAGAAATAGATAAAGAGAGATAAAAGTAGCACTAGGTGATAGGAATAAAGGAATCTAGAGGACTTCTTGTTATTTCCATTGCCATTTGTATTCACGTGTATTGGAGCTTGGCAGGAGGTACATCTTCTATTATATGTATGACAAGAGACGTAACAAATATATATATATATATATATATATATATATACATATATACATAAAAGAAGGGCCTTTAATAGCCAGCTAAATATAGGTAAAATAACAATAATACAAAATACAAAATACAAATAGAAATAGAAATAGAAGCCATATTATGTAGGCTTAAAATAAGAAGATAAAATACACAAGCAGCCAAGCAAGTAAATAGGCAAATAGATAAAAATGTGGTTTTTTTCTTTCTTTTTTATCTTTACAGGATTTTCAAAATATTTAGTATCCATCGCTACTATCTCTCTTTTTCTCTCTTTCTTTATTTCTTTCTCTCTCCCTCAATGTGTGTGTGACTAATGATGTACCCACGGCTCACAAAGACTATTTTTCTGCAATGAAATATAAATGCTGCTGCTGTGTAACCCTAATGGATGATCTTTCTACGACTTTAAAGATGTCCTTTAGGATAATATTTAGATGACATGTAGGTCAAATCTAATGCAACATTGATTCACTAATTCAACTAAACAATTAATGGGATATATATATATATATGCGTGTGTTTGGTTTTTGAATTGTTTAATAGTAGTAGAATGCAACGATACAAAATAGTGTAGGAAGACCAAAAAAAAAAAAAGAAAGAATGACTGACTGAATGAATTCACTTGTCTGTAAAAAGTATATATATATATATATATTAGATTTTAGTCTGTTGTATATATGAATAAATAAAATTAGTGGCAGTATTATTATACATATGCTACGTAATCTAGGGTGGGGAGGAAGGAAATTAAAAAAAGGAGGAGGAATAAGTAAGTGGCGACGGCGGTAATAGTAGTAGAAGTAGTAGTAAAATTAATAGTATTAACAGTGAAAGTGGTAGGAGCGGTGGTAGTGGTAATGGTTGAAGATGTTAATAGAAGAGGAGGAGGAGGGGAGGGAGGAAGAAGATATTATAAAGAAGTTGTGATCCAATATGTATAAGTAATAATAGATAGTTAAAAGAAAAGAAAGAAAAAAGGAAGGAAAAAATAACCCTGTGAAATATTATTTTCTCTCTTTTCTTTCACTTAGTTGGATTTCAGTTTCGCTCTCTCGGATTCATCTTCAATGGTCTCAGCATCCTTGGCTTGCTTGGCCATCACCTTTTTGTTGATACGCAATTCCGAATCGTACTGCTCGTCTGTTGGCTGGCGATGAGAATTACCGATACGATCCCAAAGGGTAAAATATTGGCCGTAATTGTAGTTGAAGTACAAGTGATGGACAGCGTGATGGGCACTGGTGTTGATGATAGAAGAGTGGGATATGTATGCACCTATAAGATAAATAAAGAAATAAATAAACGAATGCATTAGTATTCAAATGCATAGATGCCTTGAAAATATTTACCATCGTGAATCATCACAGTCCAAAAGTTTACAAAAATAAACAGACCAAGATACAGGTACTTGTGCATAGGGAACAGGAAGACGTAGATGTGGTAAGGCAGAGACTGGGCATAGCCATCAACAGCCTTGAATGCATGAGAGGCAAAAGGTGTAGGAACTATGTGTACATAAGATAATATATACATAAATCAAATCAAAGCATATTTTTGGGTCATTAATAAAGAAATATTTCTCTTATAATATTGCTCTATTTCATTATTCCATTCTTTCATTCTTTCTAGCCAATATTTCCCAACAATTCATTATTTATCCAGTTACTTACCGATCCATTTGTGGTGAAGCTGTTTTAGATAAAGAGACAAATTATATTAGATTAGATAAACTAAACTGACAATATATTTATTTATTTACCTTGTGCATGCGCTTGTATAGAAGAGGATGATGCTCCCAGCGGTGAATCCAATAAATACCACAGTCAGTAAATGCAAGGAAAGCAGGGATAGAAAGCAAAAAGTATGCCCAGTCATACAAAGATTCAGGAGTTCCACCATAAAGGTAAGAGTGGCCTCTGAGTTCTCCAACAATCCAAGGTGCTGTCATGACTAGATAACCAAAGTCGTACACACACACACAGACACAGACACAGACATACAAAATAAATAAGTAAATAAATAAAGAAATTATTATTATTTTTGGTTCTTACCAGCAATGCCAGGCATGGCTGACAATGCGCATTCGATTTCAAGGCGGATCTGGTTTTTCAGGAACTTTGGATGCTTCATAATGTTGTGATCGTACACAAAGTAGTATGACATTGTGGCGGCAAAGAGGTAAAAGATAAAACCTCCTACTGTCAATATGAAGATCGATGTAAAAGTCTGACGATAGATATTGTCGCGAGGTATGCCAAACGTTATGTCGTCTGTGGTCGTGGTTCCATTGATATTAAAGGAGGTCTGGCCGACCTTTGAGTACAGGGCGTCAAACAAGTACTCGTCTGCGTACTCCACAACAAGATCCATCAGGAAGAACGAAGGAAGGTTTTATTTTATTTTACAAAGAAGGGTAAGGTAAATAGGTTTAGGTTCCTTAAAACCCGCACCCAAAAAGAAGTTGGGTTTTTATAACCAAAAAAAAATAATAATAAAATAAAATATATATGAAAATAGGAGTAAGGTTTTTTTTTATCTCATTGGATGCTGTTGATGTCCCGACGGATTTATTATTATTTATTTATTATTTCACTTTATATGTGTGTATTATTTATTTTATTTTATTTTGTTTTTTTCTACCCGGGTCCCTTTCTGTGTGTCAGACCGTTGTATCAGACCACAAAAAAGTACTTTGTCTGGCAATTGCGCCGTTTGACTTGTGCTTTGTACGGATATACTCAACCCGATTAAAGCCTCTTGTGGGCCCCTATTAAGGAATAACACGCCTATTCAAGAGTCAGACATCTAAGCTACACAATCAAAGTCAAAGTCAAAGTGTTCAAAAATACCATATACATTATTGTCATTTAGATAAAATACTAATAATAATAATAATAATAATAAAATAGCAATATGTATCTATGGGTTGAAAAATCAAAAATAAGAAGAAAAAAATCACTCAGGTACAAAAAGGCTAAATCCTACGAAAAATTTCAGGGCACGAAAGATTTTGATAGACTAAAAAGGTACCAGGCAACACATTAGGACATTTGTAACGTCATACTAGAAATGATTTATAAGTAATGAGATACTATGAATCAAAGCAAAGAAATAACATGGATATATATATATATATATGTGTGTGTGTGTGTGTATCAAAAGTTAGAGCTGATATTTGATTCCAAGAGCACTCAGACACATAGAAATATACGTTTCCTAGTTGCTTTAAATCACAAAATAGTATCTCTTTTTTTCTTTTTTTTTATATAAAAAAAAAGGCAAGACTGTCCGACATTATTGTTATGAACAAGTGTCACCTATCTCACATTGATCTCATGTTTTTGGCCAAATATTCTGTTAATGTGCTAAACTCTAAAATATCGGTAAATAATTAACAAGGTGCATTTAGAATATAGCAATAGTAGTAAAGAAGTCTAGGCAATAACAGCATATTCTGATGATGTACTTTATTATACCACAAAGGAGACTACATTTCTTAAAAACAAAATTGATTTTTGATTTATTTATTTATTTATTTATTTTTTTGGTTCACAACGAAGAAGTACAGTCGACAAACCCGCCTGTAGTTCAATCCCCGATATACCTTGTTGTCTAGCAACTAAATAAATAAATAAATACATGTCTATATACACACAGAGGCATATAAACGTATATGCGTACAAATATTCATGCACACATACATAAAGAGAAAGAAAAGAGGAAAAAAAGAAAGAAAGATCCTTATTTTCGATGGAAAACAAATCAAGCTTTGTGTATCGTGCCTCTATTGAATCATAAAGAGGTCTTTTAAAGAATGTCTTGTAATCAAAACCAGAGTAAGATAAAAATTAATCTCCTCGACTAATCAATACTTTCAATTCAATACATTTCATTTCAATACATTTCAAGAACCAGCAAAAAGGAGTATCAAAATAAAATGAATGATATAAGGAGAAATGACGCAAATAATTGACATCCCCTTTCTTTCTTGATATTTAAAAACAAGTGAAACATATACAAAAATTATTTATGTAAAATGTACTTTGGTGCTTAAAGAATACTATCTTCTTTCTTTCTTTATTTATTTATATATTTATTTTATACTTTGAAATAAAAGAAAACCATGTGGCCACACACACACTCGCCTACAGAAACTAAGCTTTGTATCCAAGCACAAGAAAGCAAAAGACATATACTATTTATTTGGTCAAATGTCTTTACAGGATGATCTTTAACCCGATATGTCACAGGGGATCGACAAGGTTGATCAGTTTTATGATCCACTCTAAATTCCAGCAAATTATATATCCATGCCTGTATTTATATTACTTGTCAAGCTAACTTTTCAATGTGTTTTATATAATATATAATAAAATATAAATTTATAATTGCTGGTTGCAAGTCCACCTGTAATTTATTGCTATTTTTATTGTTATCTATCTTTTTTTTTTGTACACCAAAAATCAAAAATGAATCATTTCTTTGGTTGTAAAGTTTAAGATTACCCTATAGAAAAAAAAAATAGGCGATTTTAGTGAATTGTTGTAAGTCTTCCGGGGTTTAAAGTGTCTTGTACTTGAGTTTTAATTAAGCACCAATTTCTACTCCACCATGTTTTTTGCAGTCAAAGCAAAACATCTTTTTCTTAGCTTTTTCAACCCATTGCAAAACTAAATATCAAGTTATTCAAATCTAATGGCTTACCATCGGTAGCTTGGGTGGGTCCTAAGCAGTAACCAGAACATAATTGTTTTATCTTTTTTTGAATTCTAGTCAGTCTTTGTCTCAAACGACGACCCTCCTGGAGATCTTCTTCTGCTTGTCTTCTAGCACTTACAATTTTAACAGTACGAGTAAATCTATTAGGGTGGGGCTATATTAGTGAGATTTTTCGACTTGCTTAAAGGTTCGAAGGGAAATCTGGGAGCACGAAAAATAGTGCTTGGAAGTACTAAATGTATCAAACAAACAAAGATCAAATTCATGCTTACAAAGTAGATATCTAAATACTACACCATTGGTTGGTTCATGACTATGGTTGTGAGATACAAACCAGTTTTTTTTTACCATTAATACAGAAGGTCAACCAAATGCAGAACTGATATTGCTTTCTAGACATTCTTTAGCTTTGGATTGGTTAACATAGAAGGAAAGGCGAAACTTGCGGAATAAATCTTTGGTTGGTTTGAATTTTGGTATTTGCGTAAAATAAGCAGAGAATAGAGATAATTACAGTAATATAGGCAAACAACAAAGGTATGTAGAGTTTAAAATTCTTGCCTGTCAATCGTGCTGTCGTTTATAGACTTTTATATACGTGACTTTGACACATGAGAATATAGTACATAATTTACCAGATAAATATAATGATTGATTGATTGATTGATATAAAGGAGAGCTGCCTAAAGGTATTAATCATTTCGGTAGCATCCTGCAAATACATCAAAATAAGATTTAGTTTTTTGTATCTGTATTAGCGTTTTATATTCGTTGTTCTGAATTTTGTGTACCTATCACTAAAAACTTACTGAGAATATGCGTGGGTGTGTATAATTTATCTTGAAGAATAGTGCATAGCTATTGTATTGCTTACAAACCTTCTTCAAGCCTTTTATCATAGGAATTGAATAATAATATTAATATGACTGATTTGAAAGACTTGTAACTTTGATACTTCTAGAAGTTAGGTTTAGAGTGATATTCAATTATCATTATCTTGGTTTTTAATCCAAAAAGCCATTTTACGTGAATATTGTATGCTAGACTGCTTACATGTTGCAAAGTTGAACAAAGAGACCAACATATCCTACACAATTATGTATCTTTAATCTGAACTTAAAGAAGCCTTTGCCATCAAAAAGTAATGGCTGTGATTACTTTTTAATGCATTGTTGCTTTTTTATTTTGCAAAAGCCTTTTCTTATTTCTCTTTTTTCACAAGGTCTAAAATTATTAAAGGTCTTTAAAAGAAACATACTTAATAACTATCAAGGCTAGTATTAATAAAATACGAATCGGCGAAGTTGATAAAAGAAAGCAATCTGAGAAGAATTGGCAGAAAAACATCTACATCATGTACAGTTTGGCTGTCAATATTGCTCGCATGCTCATTAGAGATCTCAGTAGATTTAGAGAATCACAGGGAATCTGTCTTCTTGTTTTTCAAAAGTAGGGATCAGGCATATCAATGTTAACACAAAGCAGGTTTATACTCTTCGATAAAAGAATCAATTAAGCAATATACATGCCTTCATCAATATTATAGTATTTAGAGAATAGCCGTTTTTTTAAGATAAAAAATGTAAAAAGTATTACATAGAAATAGATATATGTAAACTGTTTAGTAAATTTATAGCTTAAACTGCTATTAAATATCATAAAATTTAGTACTTCTTCTTTCCATACTTCTTTATATTCAACTTGTTTTATTCTGATCAATAAAAACTATAAAATTCCAATATAAAACCGTGTATTTGTTGAGCCAATTGTGAGAATAGAGATACCTAAAAAAAGGTATAAACTTGCCATATTTAGAATATTTGATTGGATTAGATGCAAAAATAATCTGAAATCCTATAAATCATATTTGACATAGTTTGAAATCTCATAAATAGTATTTGCCCAAAAGTAAGGCTGACAGGTTAATGTCTGGCATGTTATTGGTCTAGAAGAAAGTTGCAGGTTGGCAACTTTGTTGCAGGTTCGGGGTTTAAGCGATGCCATTTCCTCACAGTGTTTCTTACAGTGATTAGTGGCCAACCCAACTCAATTTGATCCAGAATCTCGTTTCTTTTATTTTATTTTATATATTTCGTTTGGTATTTTACACATTTGTATGAAAAATAAATAAAAGGTTTCAATATTTTCACTGTTTCAAAATAAATATAACATATTCACAGGCATTCTTATATTTCTCTATGTACACTTTTTGCGTTTCGAGTCTTATAATCAGCTTATATACTGTATTATAAAAAGAAACAATGAAAATCTTGTAGTAGCACACCTTTTAGGGAATATCCATTGATAAAGATCATTAATCTTATTAGGAATTGTATATATACATATACACACCCATTAAAGAATCCACAATACTAGATTAAATATTTTCAGTCAAGTTTTGTATTGTATTCTTGGAGGTTTAGGTATACAAAGTGTGGACATATCTTTATATACATATTTTTTTTATTACAAGAAACAAACATGTATTCAAGTCCATATGATTCTAGAGTATAGTTTTATGTATAAAAGACGACATCAATAATAAAATACAACATTTTCAAAGCTACCTATATTATAGATCATATATATCAATTGATTTATTGTTTTATTGATCGAAATTGAAACATATGTATCTTTTAGTAATAAGACTAATACTGATAATGGTAGGAATGGTACATTATCATATAAAGAAAGAAAAGAATATATATATATATGGAAATAAAGAAAAAAATGAAGAAAGGAGGAATTGAATTCATTTACACAGCTTTCCCCCCTTGTCAAGTAGCCGTAACAGCCGTAGTAGCAGTAGTATTAAACCTTAGTAACAGTCAAGCGGTGGCATTAGAATTAGAATTATCATTAGAATTTCTAACAGCAACAGCAGCAGTAACAATATTCTTCTTCTTTTCACCTCCCTTCTTCTTCTTCTTCCTTGAGAAACAGCAAAAAACATCAATAGTATATAAGTATATATATATATATATATATACATGAGAGAGAGAGAGAGTAGAATGAGGAGTAAGAGGTACAAATAATTGATATTATCTATACCTAAAAAGTGGAAGAATATGAATAATATGATGCGTCTATAATACTATAGACAATTTGAATGAAAAATAATGCAGGTGCAGGTCAATGATTAAAGAAATGTGTGCTACACATACAATTTTGTGTAAAAAGAGGGAGAAGAGAAAGAAGAAGAAGAAGAAGAAGTATAATAATGAAAATAGTGATAGTAACTGTAGTAGCTGTAATAGTAAGTAATGGCAACTTGATTGATTGGTCGAGTGGTTGATTGATTGAGTGATTGATTGATTGATTGATTTTTTTTCCACTAGTCAGCAAACCAAGCTAAATCCATGGCACCTAGATCTTTTGCGTCTTTTATGATGTCATGAACCATATCACCAAGTGAGCGATAATTGTTGCGATGGATTGAGCCACTCATTGGTAATGAAGGTCCTCCAGTTGCTCTGCGGGATAAGTTATGACGAAGATGCAACTCTTCAGCAATGTCAAGAAGATGAGGGTGAAGTTCTGGGTCATGTTGGGTCTCATTGTAGAATTGTAATTGTGGTTCGTATTGGTAGATTGGCGGAATCGAAGAAAGTCGTCGAGCTGCTGCTGCTGCTGTTGGTTGCTGCTGCTGCTGCTGCTGCTGCTGTGGTTGTGGCTGTTGTGTTAGTGCTCCTGGTAACCCATCCCGAGTGTTTGGCCAACGTACGGGGTTGTTCCGCCGCAGATTCAGTGCAGCCGGACCAACATTTTGAATATTGGACTCTATGTCTTCGGGATTTTGTACAAAGTAGTTGAATGTGTGCGGCATGGGTGGCCGAGGGGCGTCTGGTAAAAAGCTGGCCTGGTCTGGTTCATAGGTAAAATGGTTGTCCCCTAGAGATATTGCCACGTTAGAATTGAGATCGACTAGAAAGTCTTGGTTACCACGTCGTAAAAGAATAGAGTTGATTCGCAAGGGTTCATTGGGGTTCATTTCCATTCCCATGTTCATAGCAATGTTCATCCGCGCTGCTCTAATCCTTTGTGCCTGTCCCGGTAGCATAGCTGGCTCGTTTATATTATTTCCACCTTGATTATCATCATTATCATCATCTTCATCGTCTTCGTCGTCATCATCCTCATCATCTTCATCATCGTCTTCATCGTCCTCTTCATCTTCATCATCCTCATCAACTTCCTCTTCTCCCATTTCTACTTCTACCCCGTTAATTGTCTGTATAATGACATGATTAACACCGTCTATTGGTTCAGCAAGAAATTCGGTTGTCATGGTTCTATCGTCATCGGAATCTAAATGCGAATTACGACCCGTATTGTGGTGATTGTTATTTCTGCTCTTGCCTACACCGTGGATTTCTAGTACGCTCGAGACCAAACGCTTGACTGTGCATTTAGTCGATCTTCGTGCGTCGATTCGTACGAGACTAGGGCAGTAAGTGGCCCACATCCAGATCACCTGTGCTGAGATCCACTCACAGCGCTGAGCTTTAAGTTCCTCTATATGCTTGCACTCCCTTCCGATTGCCTTTATGGCTGTCTCGAGAGAGATCTGGACGTGTGTGAGTCCAGGCTGGATAGCATAATACTGCAGCGTTGAGAGATACTCGCCAGTCTCCTCAATCATACTGTCGGTCAGCATAGAAGTGTAGGACAAGTTGAGCGAGGTGAGGTTGTTGCAGTTATGGGCAAGTTGGATCAAAGACGAGGTTGAGATAATGATGGAAGACAGACCTCTGAAAGACATTGCCCCATTGTCTTCTCGTGCAAGACTTTCAGAGAGTCTAAAGATGCCTGCCGGTCCGCGCATGACGTGTGACATGTTTGGGATTGGAGATGGAGTTATGCGAGGAGTATTGTTGCCATGGACTAAGCCGGTCACTCTTAAATAAAATTCATGATCTTTCATGACCTCTATTTAAGAGAGAGAGAGAAAATAGCATAAATATAAAGTAAGAAGAGAGTGATGATGGTTTTAGCAAGTTAAAATCCAAGAGTAAGGATACATTATATATATATACGACTTCTCTTAATATTGACTACGATGAACGGACTTACCTATGGATTTTCCCGAAGATAGATCAACCGAGGTAATAAGGTGACCATATTGGAATGATCTCTTTGTGCGTGTCAAGGTAAGTATGAAGATTGCCCATCGGTAGGTGTCGAGTACGATTGGGCGTCGGTAGAGAATAGGCACAGCGCAGGTTAGCCATTGTCTGCATACAAGTGATGATGCATAGAGGGCCGATTGATGTGAAGAGAGATGACCAAAGATCTCAATCAGTAGTTCTGGAGGGAGGCATGATATGGATGCGGTTCTTTTGACTGGATTGGACAAGATTGGTACATCATTTGCTTCATCAGTAAATTTACTGTCAGCGGTGTTGGGAGCAGATTGCTCTAGTAGTAGCTCACACCATGACTTGTATGCTGCACGTGGGACGATCATAAAGTCTTCTTTACTAGGGTTAGAGTTTCTGCTCTCCATTGATTTAATTTTTTTCTTTCTTTATTTCTTTCTTTCTTTTTTTAGCTATTCAAAGTCGATATCGTTGTCGTCGTCGGTATCGTCTTTCTTATTTTATTTTATTTTGGTTGGTTGGTTAAAGATAAATATATATATATATAAAAAGAATATGATATATAGATATATAGATATATATAATACTATAATATATACTTCTTTTTATATACTTGTTTCTGTGTAAGTATATCTTTATATGTATATACAAGCGTTTGTATGTATGTGTGTGTGTGCGTAGGTGTTTGAAGAAGAGAAGGGTTTATTCCAAGTAATAGGAAGAAGTATAGTAAAAAAGAAGTAAGCTATTAGTTAATATATTTAAAATAAAATATAAAATGTGAGAGGAAGAAAAAGGTTAGGAAATCATAAAGAAATCATTATTTTTATTTTAAAATAAAATAGAATAATATCATTGGATTCAATTGTGCTTGTGTGAGAAATGGAAAGTTTAACAGTGTGACATTTTGGAGTGACATCACAGGAAGAACATTGATAGAGATTCACCTTTTTATTTTTATTTTTATTTTTATTTTATTTACTATGAACAAATGCCTAGGATTTAAACAATTACCAATAAAGATATATATATATATATATAATAAAAAGGATTTACGGACAGTTTGGTTTAAATAGCTTAAATATACATATCTGTCTGTTTAAATCTCTTGGTAAATTGAATATGTATTTACATTTATTTTACATCACCAGCAAATTTTACAGTCAAGTTTCATTTCGATTTTTTTTGTACTTGCTTTTATTTGATCTGATCTTTACTATACAATTAGTCTCCTTCAAAGTGAACCTCCCTAAACTCACTTCAATGGATCCATTTTCAACTCTTGCTTTCAACTCCATCTAACATTATATTTTATATGTTCAGTTTAAACAACCGAAATTGAGACTCTTATATTTTCATTTGATTTCCTTCCGTTAATATTTATGCTTCTTATCTCATGTACCAGCAATGTGCCAACAACTACAGCACAAAATAATCAATTTCGTTCTTTCTTCTCTACCACATACACATGTACATACACATGTACATAATTATATTCTTATGATCTCCGCCATTATCGGTTTTCCGTTTTGTGTTCCCACTGAAACCCGTTCTTGGGTTAAAGAGTCTTTTCTGTAAATGCCCAAGAATATAAATTATAGAATCATTTTTTATATAAATTTAAATAAATTCACAATTAGACCTCTCAGTCTAATCGCTTATAATTGACCATCACCTTTCTTTGTTCTTTATTATTATTATTATTCCTTGTACTTTAATAACACGTCTTTAGGACACAGCCCTCCTTTCTTTGCTTGACACAAAGGAGATTTTCTTTTGTGATATTGCCACAGTACAGAATTATATGCATAGACAGCTGTTAAGTTTCCTTTGATTCTTTAGGATTTTATCCAAATAATTTAACAACAAAGCCTTTCCAATCATTCTTCCTTTGTTTTCTTAATAAAATTATATATAAATATTATTGGCAGTGTTTTCTTTGAATGGTGTACAGAATACAATGCACATTAATATTAATATTTAAGGATTATACAATAATAGTTTCTTTTAAAGATCTACATACTATTGAGTAGACAGTCAAAAAAAAAAGATTAAAATTAAAAAGTAACTTGAATATTTGAATAAAACCCATACTCCCTTAATTATAATTATTATAGTAGTAATGGTATTAGGTATAAAGGATAAATATCAGTGCAGTGTATTGTGTCATATTGAAACACCAAAAGTACAAGTTTGGACGTAAGAATAAAATGATATATTTATATATATCAAAAAAAGGGGAATAAATTAGGGCTTAAAAAGTTAGATATATTCTTCGTTATTATTATTATTATTATTATTATTATGATTATGATGATGATGATTATTATTATTTTTTAGAATTTTCGGTTGGGAAGCAGTGTGGTTGGTATTTTCTCTGGAAGCGTGCCTCCGTTCTTGACTGCCTTTATCAAATGCATGGCAATAGAGAACTCATCAATGTCCATGTAACCATCATCGTCAAAATCAGATAGGGTCCAGATCTGGGCAAGAGTGTCGGTCGGTAGTCCACTCTGAACCAATACTGGCTTGACACTTCCTCCCGGGATTTTTCCCTCACGTGGTCCCAGTTGGTTAAAGACCGGAATATAAGAAGCCTTGTCAATCGAAGCAAAGTGCCAGTAAGAAGGAGGTAACTCTCCCGGACTGGCCTGGGTCTCGAACGGGTTACGCTGCGACTGATCGAGCTGCGGGTTGCTCATTGGGAACATGTGCATCAGGCGCGGCAAGTCCACAGACAATGCCTCGTCTACTCGCTCAATAAGCTCCTCTTTCAATGGTTTAAATTTGTCCATGTCGTACACTGACAGACTCTGTCGGAACTTCTCTGGATTAGGGAAATCACCAGCTGGAAGATGGTGTCTTTGCTGGATCTTCATGAACTCTTGTTCTAGGTTCTTCAGCAGGTTCTCCTGCTTCTTCTTTTTGCCAAACATAGCTGGCATTTCTTTCTTTAAATGACTGATAATAAGAGCATGAACCTTTTTTTTTATAAAAAAAAATAACAATAAAGAAAAAGGTTAATTAACAAGAATCTTATTTAAGCAACAATTATTATTAGTATTATTAGTATTATATTATTCTTACTCTGGCCAGGCGTGCTCTTTTCACAATCTCATTGATCTTTCGAATTGCAGCGTTTCTCTTCAATTCTTTAAGATCACGCAACAGATCCTTTGATTCTGCTTCAATTAATTCACGGCAATCCTCAAAACTGTTGGGTGGTTTTTCTGTCCAGAAAGAACTCAAGAACACGCGCATGACTTCGGGTGTCTGTACTACTTTTCCAAGAGACCACATCATGGCGCCATACCTAAACATATCAATCCACATCAATTACATGTACCCAAAAAAAGAAGAAGCAAGCAAACATGCATTTTCTTTTCTTTATAGATTTTATACTCACACTCTCATCAATTGTTGCTGGTTGACCATGTCACTCTTGTTCAGAACAACTCGAACCTTTTCTTCCTGGCCACGTAGACTGTGGATGGCCAGTTTGAATTCGTTTGAGATGTCGAGTTTGTGGGAATCAAACATGAGAATGATAAGATCGGCACGCTGGGCAAACCATTCAATTACTTGGGTATAATCATAGCCACGTTCGATGCGTTGCTTATCACCAGCCAAAATACCCGGAGTATCTATGATTGTCATATTCTCCAATGTAGGCGAATTTGTTTGGGACACCTTTTAATGCTTATCATTAGTATCATTATTCTCTCTCTCTCTTTTTTTTTATTTTATTTTATTTTTTACTTGGAATCTTGATAAAAATGCTTGTCCAAATCGATTGAGACCCCGGAAAGGTAAATCTTGGTTAACAGCAGCAGCATTTCCTGGCATCACACGGTCCTCTTCGCCATGCATAACAGCCACAAATCTATCTGTGGTTGGTTCAACACCAATATGCTCTCCAGGATAAGATTTGTCAAGAAGGTAACGAATGAAAGTTGTTTTTCCCTGTATTATATAAATATATATATATAAAAATAATAATAATAATTTATAATAAAGAGATTAAAAAAAAATGGCCCTGTAATTTGTCTTTCTTTCTTTTTGTGTACATTTAAATAAAAAAAAACATTGTTCAAAAGTGTGGTACCGTTGAATATTGTCCAATAAGCAATATAATAGGCTTTGCGTCAATATCAGAGTCGGTTAATGGTGCAGAATGGAATCCTTTATAATCATGATTTTATTTTATTTTAAAATGACCAAAAAAAAAAAACGAGATTGAGTTTATTTTATTTTATTTTATTTTATATATTATGTTGGTATTTCAAGGTTTATTTTTTTTTTGTATATATACTGTACCTTCAAAATTATAGGTTGTTTCCAATGGTTTGATTTTTGAATTGTAGATCTTCTTGATGCCTTCGATGACCTGACTATATTCATCGTCTCTTAGGGATGAAGGTGAAGGTGAACCTTTTCCTTTCTTCTTTGAAAATGACATTGAGTGATTCTTAAGAGCAACCAAGCAAGGGAATTAACAGCAATTAAAAAAAAAGAGAAGAAGAAGAAGAACAAAATAAAGGGGAAGGGAGAGAAGAAAAGACAAGGGAAGGGAAGGGAGAATTACAATAAGAAGAAGAAGAAGAAGAAAATAACAAAAGGGTAGTAGACATAAGGTAAGTTTTTTTTTACATTCCAGATAAAGTACACTGTGGTACATTGAATGAGTTTCACCAGCACCTTTTTGTTTATTTTCTCTCTCTCTCTCTCTCTTTCTTACACTCATCTTGTTCTCATTTTGTCTTTCTTATTACTCTCTCTTTCTTTCTCATATTTTGACTTTTTTTTTTTCATTCTCAAGGTGTTCTAGTTGTAGTCTAATGATTGTCCAAAATGAAGTAAATAATAATAATGGTAACGATGGTAACGATGGTAACGATGTCAATAGTAATAATAGTAATAGTAGTAATAGTAGTGGTGGTGGTTGTATTAATGATTGATAATTATAATAAAGAGGCTTTAATATTAATGTGTATTCTAATGTCCTTGGTGGTATAAGCGGGTCACCATCTCTAGATAGAACTCTAAAACATTAAATCGGTCTCCTTCTGTACATTGTCCTGGTTGTTTAGATGACCGCCATCTATACCTAGTTTTTGTTTGTTTGCTGTTAGTTTTAATTTGATGTAGAAAAAAACTCACTCACTCACTCATTCATCCACAATACCTCCCCCATTCCTCTTACTCCTCATAACTCCCTCTTCTTCTTACTCCTTTCCAAACCCATTGATTTTTATTTATCTTTTTTTTTTACTCACCTTTGTCCGTTGAGATCCCAATGATCAGCCTCGAGTGTCTTTATGTACTGACCCCATTGTGCACTCTTCACACTCACAAACCCATCGTTTTCACCTTCCTTTTGTTTGATGAGCTGGTGAGGAAGACCGAGCAAAGACCAGGCCGGTAGTTTTGCCGACCCACCGTATGAGTAATAGGCCACGCGTGGGTCGTTTGGTGTCGTGAGATTGAAGTGGTGGGTACAGTAGTCGGTCGACAGATTGGCGTAGGCAGGAGTGTCGAGTAGCTGGACGACGCGTGCGACGACTGGATCGAGCAAGTGGGCCGGCATCTTTGCAACATCCGCCAGAGTCCAGCTCAAGAGCGGCAGTAAGGTGGGTGGTAGCCGAACTGGCAGAGTGACTGCAATGGGAGTGTGCAGGATTCCCTGAAGTGCATTGAGGGTCCGGATCTTCTCTGCGTCTAGTTCATTCTTTTCCATCTTCCGGGTTGCCGCATTCACCAGTGCGTCGGTCATTCCAACCCCAACATTGTCTCTAAACCAGTCCATGACAGGCGACCCACGGTGAGGTGTAGATATCGTAGTCAGGGATCGGACGCGGTAGGGACGGTCAGGGATGTGAGTAATCAAGTGTCTACAGTCAAGTCCACCCTACAACAAGAAGTATTTTTGTTTGTTTGTTTGTTTGTTCGTTTGTTTGTTTAATTAATTAATCATTTTAATATTATTTAAAGTCATTTAAACTACACTACACTACACTACACTACACACACACACATATATATATATATATCTAATATAGAAATCTTACCATTGAGTGGGCAATGAAATTAATATCTTTGCCATCCAATACTGTCTTCATAAGCTTGTGAAGTACTTGTGCTCGTTCCCAGATGCTGCCTGTTGACGGCACTCGTGTCACGATTACCTTTGCTCCCAGTTTAGCCAGTGCGTTTTCAATACCACCCCAGTAGTGGACCTGCAAGGCCGGTAAGTTGTCTGGGCCACGCTTGTCAAAGCCATACAACCCATGGCACAGGACAACAGGTGCACGGGGAGGCACATAATTTGGTGTGACGGGCATGTCGAGGCCAGAAATGGTTCGCAATTTCTTTTGGGGCCTCCTCAGAAGGGTTTCTTGGCTGTCTGCTTTATTACACTTTAGGGGTGTGGCGGCAAAGAAAGAATCCCGGGCTGAGGGTTGTTTCATACGCTGGGGGTAGAGTACTTGGAAGCCTGGCTGTTTGGGTCGTCTTGGGTTGAGCACAACATGACGCTGGGCATTAGAGAGTAATCGACTAACAGCTGAGCTGTGGTGCGAGAGAATTCCTCTAATGTGGCTGGTGATGAGCGACCAGGTTAGCGAAGACACCATGGCTCATTCGAAACAAGGATGAAATAAATAAATAATAAAAATAATAATAAAAAATTAAAGAAGTTTTTCTTTCTTTATATTTTTTTATTTCTTTCTATATGAATAAGTGGAAGTGTGTGTGTGTATGTGTGAGAAAAATATAAATATTATATATAAATATATTTAGTGAAAGTTTAAAGAGAGAAAGAGAAAGAACAAGTGTGGCCGTCACGACCGGGGAAAACAAGAACATGCCAGTCTTTGGTCATATCAATTTTGTCTACCAATACAAAGGCTGTTCTGTCAAGTTTGAGATCCGCTAGTGAACTTCTCTCTATGTAGTCATCTTTATGCGTATGTGTATGTTGGTTGTATTTAAATACAAACATTTATTATGAAAATAAGCAATCGAATACTATATACAAATAATAACAATAACAATAAAGGAATTGTGGTGATTGATTTTGCATATATTAATAAATTAATTTTAAATTCTATATGCTCAAGTCTTGTTTTCTTTAGCCTTTCTTCTTTTGCTTACAAGACACCAGCAATACAAAGAAGAAGTCAAGAATATGTAGTGTGAAAGAAAATAGATGTATATTACTTTGATCTATAGAACGATAATAAAATGGACCCTTTATGGTTGTAGAAATTTGGGGGAGCAGAAGAAGAATTAGAAGATGGAGGAGCTTTTTTTTTTCCCAATTTCTGTTTCCGGTGTCATGTGAACAGAACATTAAAGAACAAAAAAAAAAATATCAAAAAATTCAGTCAGTACACAAATTCTTATATCCAACTATTTCTTGGTCTTACACACATACAAAAAGAGAGAGAGAGAAAATACAGGTAAAGATATCTTTTATACATATGCAAGACTGGATACTCTGTTTAAAGAAATAAAGAAAAAAAAGAAATAATACACGCATTAATAAAAGTAAAGCATTAATTTAATTTTATATTTTTGTTAAGATTTTGTTTTGTAGTTGAAATTTTTTTTTTTTTAAAAAAAAATTCCCTCCACCCCACACACTTTGTACATTTTTATATCTGTATTGTATCTCCGTTTAAATGTGAATTTCGGTGAATTATTGTTAAATCACAGATAGCGCAACAAAATGAAAATTACGCTATTCTGAAAGACGCAAAAAAAATATGGATGACCAATCATCTCCAATAAACAACACAAATATAAAAGAAATGGATAACCCCTCACCAAACCTTTCTTTAATTAAATAAGTAGATGAAATTTAGTCGAATTTATACCGATAACATATATATATATATTTGCTTTATACTGTAATATGATGCAGTATAGCATAGTGTGGTGAGAGTATATTAGACTACAAGTAATATTTAATCGTAATAACTAAAAGACTTGTAATTATAATTAATATATCACGTTTAAATATATATACTTTAAAAGTATTTCCATCATTGTAATGGTAATATATATGATATGGTACACAGCATGAATTTACCTCTAACTAGCTAGCTATTCGTTTAATTAAACTTCTTTGGTTCCTCGATAAATGGAATGATTTTTTTTAAAAAAAAATCCATATCTCTGGGAGCATGTGCGCGTATTACTTTGATCTACAAAATCTATATCCAAATCTAATAATTATCTATCAGATCTTGTACTTTTTAAGGCAATAAATCTTTTTTCTTCAAGAAAAATAAATAAATAAACCTATGATAATAATAGTAATAATGGTAGTTAACTAAAAACACGTATTTGAATATAAAATTCATTCTTTCATTTGTTCATTTGGTTTTTTTTTTGAAAAAAAATAGAAGGGCATTTTATTTTTGTTTTTTTGATTTTTTTTTGATATTTAATTGGGCAATTAAAATAACAAATGAAAAAAAAATAAAAAATATGAAAAAAAATGTGATAAAAAAAATAAAAATAAAAAAGATATGTAATAGTAGATAATAGATAATTAATAAAATAAATAAATAAATAAAAAAGATGAATATAAAAAGGAAAACAACAAGCAAAATATGATTAACAACTCAAATCAAGCAATAATCTGACTATGTGTTTGGAGGAGGAAGTATTTTTTTTGGCGGGAAGAGGAAGAAAGATGATGGTTGATGGATACAAGAAAGTTAAGGTAGCGAGAGAGAGAGAGAGAAATTAATGAATGTGGTATATGATTGATTTGTTGAAATTGTTGTTTTTTTTAATAAGCAGCAGCTTCGGCCAAACGCTCCTGGCGCTCTAACATCATGTCAATACCCTTTCCAGTGCACCAGAGCAAAGTAGAGACAGAGAGGGCAATGTAGAAAAGGGTTCCGTTAATCCAGATAGGGACATCGACAAAGTTGGTGGGCTGTCTACGCTTTTCCAAGTCGTTGCTACCAGCGATTTCAGAGGGAGAGTATTCAGCAGGGGCAGAGTTGAGAGTAGAAGACAGATCAAGACTCTATTATAATATGCTTATTAGTTTATTTGTTTGGAATATAAAACTGAAAAAAAAGGTACATACCAAGATATCAACCTGGGATGGAGATGATGAGCTGTGGACTGTGGCAGCCATAGCGGTGGCAATGAAGAAACAGAAGATGGCGAGGATAGAGAAACGCATTTTATGATGTATTTGATTCGATTTGTTTATTTATTTTTATTTTTTGGCTTCAAGATGCTTTGGTCAACAAAGAATAGGAAGTAGTAGTTGGTAGAAGAGTAGGCTGTTAGGTGAGCAAGATGCGTGATAAAGAAAGAAGGAAAGAAAGGGTCTGGTTCCTGAAGGGGGGGGTTTATATATAAGTAAGAATTATCTTTCAAAAAAAAAAAAAGATCAAAATCTTTTCTTCTTCTTTGTGTTACTACTGTTATTTATCAGATGTACCACCCAAAGATCTTCGGAGTATGATCTTGATGTTGATTCTTATCAGATCGTCTATGAAATTGTCAATATGTTAAATAACCGACCCGTGGAGTGGTTACATACAAAGTGATTCATTATCATATAAAATAATACAATACAATACAATATAATCGCGTCTCAATCGTCAGGAACATAACACACCCAAACAGATAGCTAGGCCGATAGGTAAATAGGTATCTGAATAGATATAAAGATAAATGTACATAGCCAAGTATTCAACCCTTTATCAAACAATACAAAAAGAACAATCAAGGAATATTATTGCCTTTCAAAAAAAAAATATACGCGTATTTGACTGCAGCTTATTACACATGTCATTCTTTCATAATACAACGAATAAATTGAATGCATATACACCTATCTATTATTTTCTTTTATTCTGTACCTATATCAATAAAAAAATAAAATAAAAAGGAATATTCCTGGTAAACTATCAAGAAGAAGAGAAAAAAAAAATACAAGCACACACAGAAAGAGAGGTATACTCCATTTTGCGCCGACTTAAACGCGGAAGAATAATATTATATGTATAATACAATATGATTATCTTTCTGAGTTGGCTGTCAATCTTTGGTAAATTTTTTTTTACTAGAGAAACAACAAAGAAGAAGTAGGAGCTTTTACTTTTGAGTACAACCTTATCTGTTCCTTTTTGTTTCAAATATCAATCCTTGTTAGCTTCTTTTTTTTTTCTATTTTAAAGAATGAATGATAGCCAGATACTACCAGTATCAATCATAAATCACAATACTTAGTAATAATATCTTTATAGATCTTTCAAGTGACTTTACGCCTTTGCAAAAATCAGGAAATGGCATGATTATTTATATAGGCTTCTCTATCAGATATGCACATATCTGATAGTTTTCCTGGGTTTATAGGTTACCAAAATAATAATAATAATAACCAAGCTTTAATAAAGATAAATCAAGCCAAGAAAAAAAAATCTGTACGCATCTGATAGCAAATATATATATATATATATATATACTAACTGACTGACTGACTGAATGGTTCAACCACTGTGTGCTCCACAAAGTCTCATAAGAACATCCTAATTTGGTGGGTGGAGGGGATTTTGTGTGTATTTTTTTTTTGTTTTGTTTTGTAACTGGACCTTTATAACCGTACGATGATTCCGGCTACATAAGAAACAACACCCACAATTCCCTTGGTCTTTTTTTTTTTCTTAAAAAAAAAAAAAAAAAAAAGTGATACAGACAACCAAAGAAAACATCTATAAAAGGCAACGGCCACTAAACTTTGCTTTGGAGGGCCTTCATTTTATGTTTTATCAGATCATCTCCCTAAACATGGGGTTACAAGAAATATTATTATTATTATTTTTTGAAACCGATCGTCGGAAATGAACTGATTTAGGATGATTTAATGTATTGTATTGATTATTTGTAACTACATATAATGGAATATAATTTATCTAAAGAAGTGTGTAAATTCAAGTAAAAGTACATTCTTATCTTCTTCTTTTATTAAAGTTTATCTTACTTTGTACCATAATATTTTATATTCAAAAAGCTGTTAAAGAAATATATAATTATAATTATAATTATAATTATGTACTCCTTGTCTGTGTATCGTCGGGTCTAGATTATGATTGAAGTTGAATTTGACCATATATTATATATATTATATATATATATAGGCCAGAACGATAATACTAATAATAAGAATAGATTGATAAAACTATATGTAAATAACAGAAAATATGTATATATAAAGAGAGAGAAAAGAACACTGAAAAGAACATACATACATAATCTTCACAAGGATCGTTGTTCAAAATGAACAGAAATTATATATCTAATATCTATTTTTATTTTTATTTTTATTTTATTTTATTTTATTAATTAATTGATTTTTATTATGATTCTTACTATCTGGTACTATTGTTTCTCTACTGTGGCGCTTTATCCCAAATCAAGTAAAATGAAAGGGTTCAAGAGCCACAGATTAGAAGATCACCATTCGAAAGATTATATGAATTTCCTTTACTACTTTTAGTTAATTAATAAAGAATATCCAGCCATAATTTACTGATACTTTGAATATTCTCTCTCTCTCTCTCTCTCTCTCTCTCTTTAATATATATATATACTATGTATATGCTTATAAGCGAATCTTATTAACAAGTAAACATTTCTTCAAGATATTTTGTATATATAATAAATAAATAACTAAATAACTAAATAACTAACTAGGCAAGAAATATTCTTATACGAATGGATTTGCTGCCAAGATGCGCACCAATGGTGGACTTCTGAGAGGATCAGCGATCAGGACTACCCTTACATAGTCAAAGGGTCGAATGACCTGGCGACACTCGTCTGGAATGGTGCACTCTTGTTGGCTCTCCTGTGGATTCTCTCCTTGGACTGCCCGAAGTGACATGGATCTCGGTCTTCTGTGGACCGCCACATTAATTCCGGCAGAAGGATTTGCTGTACTACCAGCACCAACACCAGTGCCAGCACTACCACTACCACTACCACTACCACCAGTAACAGAGGCAGCAGCTGCAGTGCTACACAGATTATTAGATCCGACGGGCTCTGTCGGAGATATACCGGACTTTATTGCAAGTTGATTCACCGACTCCGTAAGACGATTGGCATTCGTTGGGCACTGGTTGTAGTGGGGAAAGGAGGACGAAGACGAAGACGAGGAAGAGGACAGTGAATTTGTTGTGACAGATTGGTCAGGGATCTGATAATTATTACTATTATCATTATGATGATGATGATGGTTACTATTATAATAATAATGCTCTCCCGCTCCAACACTTCCACTTCCACTTCCACTTCCACTTCCACTTCCTCTTTCTTCTTCTTCTTCTTCATCGTACGCACGCTCCACAATGGCGTCAGTTGTGGCTACCTTGGGCTTCCAATAGAGATGCAGTACCCCGTCGGCCGGAGAATGCTTGTAAGTATTGAGAGGAAGATTGATTGTGTGGATCCGGCGCTCGAGTCCCATTCCGGGCACAACGACATCAAACGCTTGGTCGTGCACACCCACGACCAATGCTTCGTGCGGTGTCGAGGTCTGGCCAGATGCATTGAGGAATTTGGAGAGAAAAAGGTGCTGGCATTGCTCGTGCGCATTCCGTGCTGCCTGTGCCTTGACATTACAGTGTTGAGCAATCTTTTGCAAAAGCTCGGGCTCAATGTGAAACCGGGGTTCTGATAGATTTATATATATTATATAATAATTTGTATATATGCACACATAGAAAGAAAAATCATATTATTATATTATATTATATTATATTATATTATATTATATTGTGTGCGTGTGCGTAGGGAATACTTTTCTTTAAAATATTAACAATAATAAAATAAAGTAAAAACAGGCGAATGAAAAAGAAATAATAAAGGTAATAGTAACAATAATAGTATGGTTCATTTGCAGACTTTATTTCTTTATTTATTTCTTTATTTATTGCGCAATACATAACCTCTTTTGTACAATCACACACACACATACATACATTCTTACCTTTTGCTAAAACGGCCTCTAGCTGACGGTGTACAATCAAATCTGCAAAACGACGAGAAGGAGAGGTAAAATGGGTGTAGACAGGTTCATCGAGAGCGTAGTGGTGGTGCCGACTGGGCTCAAAAGAACCCGCACAAAAGTATTTGGAAGACTGGGTGGCCTTGAGTACAAGGTTAGTGATGACTAATTTTGCAGTAGGATTATCAATTGCATCCACAGAGCGCTGGAGAGCACTTGTAGATGATGGGTCTATTGAATAACCGAGTTTACGAACATAATTCGCAAGTTCTCTCTATTCATAAGCAACAGCAAATATACATATATATTATTATTATTATTATTACTTTTTTTTGTTAGTATTATCAGTATTTTTCTTTATATTAAATTAATTAAATAATTAAATAAAAAAAAAACTTACCAGCTTGCGTTCATTTGGAGGCGATTGTGATCGAAGCATTGCTTGTTCAGGAAAATGTTGTGCAATCTTTTGTGCAACACCAATGTTGGCCAAGACCATGAATTCACTCATGATATCGTCTGCCGGGACCTTCTTTACCATCGATACCTTGGTCGGCTCACCATTTGCAAAGTCCACATGAAATCTCTCGAGGGTTAGGAGCATGGCCCCCCTGCTGGTCCGGCTCTTCTTCAAGGCCTGGGCAAGGTTGTAGAGCACATGAATCTCTTGCTCTACTACTTCTGGCCGTTCGTGTTCTTCTAAGCTCAAATGATCTGGCACACCCTTTCCATCCAACATGTGTTGTAATTGATTAGAATTCAAGATCCCACGCGATCTAGTAAAGTGTATATACACATAATAATAATAATAATGATAATAATAATAATAATAATGATAATAATAATGATAATAATAATAAGAAATACAAATAGTATCTTTGCAACAGATTGTTGTTTTGGTGGGAATAAAAACTCACCTTATTGTAGACTTTCCGTGCCACTCGTGAAGTACATGTCCGCTTTTGTCCAATTTCCACACTACAGAAAACGCAAATCTATATCCAGGGAATTAAAGTCAAAGATAAATGTAATCTATTTATCAATCGTAACTACTTTTATCATTATCTCACCTGTCTTTTCCAGGAAGTAGATCAGTACACTCTGTCAAGAGCTGCTGTGGCCAGAGAGGAACATCTTCATAGACAAATACTCCAGTGCATCTTGATCTTGCCTCTTTGTCCAATAAAGAATGTGGTTTCACGAATGCAGAAACATCAGAGACGTGGAATCCAATCTCGAATTCATCGCCAATCTTTTGTACAGACAAGGCATTTCCAAAATCTATTAAATATATATATATATAAAGTGTGCACAACATAATTATTTCTATTATTTAAGTTTTTTTTTTCTTTACCTTTATCTCCAGTACTATCTATTGTAAAACATCTAGCTGATCGTAGATCAAGTCTCTCTAGAATGTCTTCTTTGGATGGCCTCCAGCCAGGTGGGGGTAGGCATCTCAACAAAGACTCGGGAAAGCCATTGTAAGGGAAATTGTTGTCGGCAAGAATGGCTCGGAACTGTACACTCAGGGCATTGATGGATCCCAACTCTGCTTCCAAGAGACCAAATGGATGTAATGATGTAATTGGCCAGCGTTTGATAGACCCCTATAGAAGTATAAAGATATATAGATACACGTTTGATAATGATACTTGGGATGACAATAATGATAATAATACTAGTGTCTTATATATATATATATATATACATAAAAATTAAAGGGAACAAAATCAAGTGTATTACACTACGTAATGATATTATACATTATCTCGCCAATAGAATAAAAAAAATAGGGGCAGGAGTAGGAGGATGAGGGGGGTCTAAGAGGACTTACTAGAAACAATCTGTTGATGTAACTTTGGCTGTTTTCAATAAAATCTGCTGGGGCTTGTTCTACTGGAATTGCAATCAAAGGAACCCGCTTGTCGGTTGGTTTGAACCACACAATTCTAGGCGTCGGCTGAAATGATCCTGAATCGCGCTGATCCTGGAAATCACCCTGCTGTTGTTGCTTTTGGTGCTGGTGCTGGGGCTCACCGTTCTCCTTGATTTGGCGTTTGTTGCTTGGTCTCATTACACCCAATGTCCTATTATAAACATGTGCGTTTGCGTATGTGTGTGAAAACATGAGCATGAACATGAGCATAAGCAAGAATCCAATTATATATATATATATATGCGTGTGTGTGAGAGAGTTTTATTAGTATATTATTAATAGCAATGGTAATAGTAACAAGCTTCAATTACAGTTTAAAGTTAATAAACCAAGCTAAACCAAGCTAAACTAGAAAAGATAAATAAAAAAAAAAGTAAGAGAAAGAGTTTATATTATTACCCTGAAAAGGCCTGGTTCTGAAGTCTTTCTAGGATTGCCACTACAACGCCACAGAAACGCGGCTTGATTTTATCCACATCATCTTCACCAGCAAACATGATTTCCTTTTCGTCTTCCTCGTCTGGCTTGCGGACCACAGGTTGGCCGTTGTTGCGGGCCAGTTTGGCGTCTTCCTTTTCGAGCTTTTCGCGCATCACCTTGTCGACCTGGACGAGCCGGACGGCCACCGTATCTCCCTCCAGCGCCCGGTTGCGGTCTCGGGAGCCACAGATATAGATATCGGTATTGACCTCTTCGCAGAACACATATGCGTCCGACCGATTGCGCTTGTTGACCCGCATGATCCCGCTCACCAGTTGATGGGATTTCAGTAGAGGAATTACCCCTGAGTAAGGTAAATGGGCCGTAAAAAGCGCCCGGCGTTGGTTCTGAGGATTGTTTTCCTCCCGTGAAAAACTAAAGTGTGTAGGAGTAAAAGGAACAGGAACCAAGGCAGGAACAGGTCCCTGACAAGACGACCGTGGTGAAGGGCTTGGTGACAAGGTGTTGTTGATTAAAGTAGCTATAAGCATACAGAAATATATATATTAGGTTATTAGGTTATTAGGTTATTACTATTAGCATTACTCACATTGTCTCCAATCTCCTTGCCTGGGCCGACTATTCTTGAGATCTAGTGCTAGGTGAGGCGGTTTGAAAGACTTGTTCCTTGATTGAAATGAGCCCAATCCCCATCCCAATCCCAATCCCACCACCTCCATCTCCACTTCTGCCCCCTCATCTTTTTCCTCGTCTTCTTCCTCTTCTTCTTTAGTTTTCTCCCCAGACTCTAGGGGTCTTTTGCTTTCAGGTGTATTTACATATGATGACCATGGAAGAGAAACAGGCCTATTACTACTATTATTGTTGTTGTTGCTTATAAGTCTCCTGTCATTTTGATCGAAATTCCTCGGATTAGGTTCTGACAATCTACGCCCATGTTTTGGGGATTGGTCAGAGGGGTGTTGATAGTGTTTTTGGTACTGGTGTTTTTGTAAATCTGTGGTTTCCTTGTGATGAATAAATGGATGATGAGGAGAAAGAGGAGAAAGAGGGTTTGGATAAACAGATCTGCTGTGAATGATCTTCTCCTGCTGCTCCTGCTGCTGCTGATTTTGTTGTTGATAATGATTCTGCTGCTGTGGATGTGGATGCGGTTGTGGCTTCGTCTGCGCCTGTGCCTGCGCCTGCGCCTGCGTCTGCGCCTGCGTCTGCGCCTGCGTCTGCGCCTGAGGCTGAGGCTGATGTTTATTTTGGTATTGTCGTTCTTGATTGGCTTGATAATCATCCCCTCCGTCTGGATGTTGTCTTTGTAGATTGACTCGTGCTAGACTAACACCCGTGAGTTTTGCTTCTGTTTCTGCTCTGGCATTTGCCCTTGTGTTTGTATTTGTGTTTGGGGTAGCTGCGATGTACTCCCCTTCTTCATAAAGACAGACATTTGAAGATCTCTTGTTGTATTCTACTGGTACCGAACGCCTGTCTCCGTTTGCGTGCCTAGGGATTGCATGACTGTTTACCAGACTCCTGTCTCCGTAAGTAGTCGGAGGACTATTATTGGATTGATTGGCCAGACCATTGACATTAAAAGGACTATTATTCCTATTGTTGTTTTTGGCGTTTGGGTTGGCGCTTGTACTGGGGCTGGTGTATTGGGGTTGACTAGATTGAGTCATAGGAAAGCTATTGAATACGACAGAGGATCTTTTTATAGGGTTTTGGATAGACCCTAGAGAATCCTTTTGGTGTGAATTGCTGGTATTGTTATTGTTGTGTTGTGGTTTTAATTCTTGCGAGAGCCTGTATGGTTGCCGAGATGGTTCTGGTGAGATTGATTGGTGTGAGTCCAACAAATGATTGGTGCTTGATCGCCTGGGACCAATCCATGGAGACTGTGGTGATAGGATGTTAGAAGAAGAGCAATTCTTTCCTTCTTCATTGACGGTATGAAGAGAGGATCGATGGTGTGAAGATAGGGATGATGAGTAGTTTGCGGATTTGCTTCGTTGGCGGATTGTCTTGGTTTCATTGGTTGCTGGGTAGGTGTGCAATTGATGTGCTGAACGACGGTTGTCTGTTCTGTCTGATTGCAACTAAGTAGTTAATAATCAATAATGTATTCTTTCTTTTATTAGGTTTGATAATCAAAATGTGGAAAGGTGAATTATTGGTCAAGTTGAATACCATTTTTTCCGGAAGATCGAATAATCCACGCGTTGATTCTGGGGCTGTCTGACCATCCAAATCCATCCTATCCATCGTGCGTGTATATAAGAAAGAGAGAGAGAGAGGGAGAGAGGGAGATTTATTTTCTTCTCTTACAAAATAACAATAGTAATAAGTTATCAATGCAAAGAAAGAAAATAAGGGGAGAGGGGATGTTTCAGAAAGAACAAAAAGTAAAATAATAATTAAAGATCAATTGATAGATAAATGGAGGGAAACTAATAAAAGGAGGGATCCAGGGACAAATGGAAGGGTAGAAATGAGAGAGAGAGGGGGGGGGGGGGGGGGGGTTAGTGAGAGAAAGGGAGAAAATATTCAGAGAGATCAAAATGAAGAGAACCAAAAAAAATAATTATAATTATAATAAAGAAAGCTGATTTTCTTGTTGTTTTTGATTTATTTATTTTTTTGATGTGCAAGAAAATATAGATGTCTAAATGCACAAGCACAAGAGTAAACATCAAATAGACCTCCTTGAATTCTCTTATTATTGGTATTGAAGATGACATTGTACATAAGATCAATACAAGAATAAAAGAGGTTCATGAACGAGTAGCATTGGTAGTACCAATACTTTTCTCTTGTTATAGCCATTATGTTCATATTTAACAGCAATAGAGCTAGAATTTAAGATTAGAATTAGAAACATTAATAGTAATATTAGCAAAAGAAATAATAATAATAATAATAATAATAACAACAAAGAGGGGGGGTGAGGGAGATTGATGCTTGGATTGTAGAACCTCAGGGTTGCCATGACATCTGGTGTCACACACGGAGAGCGTTCCGTTGATGGCAAAATCAAGCGTCACAATTAAGAGACATGTTAAAAAAAAAAAAATTGGCGCTGAAAATAATAAATCTTGATTTTATTTTTATATATTATTCTTTTAATCCACCCCCCCCCCTCCTTTTTTTTTTTTTTAAAAAAAAATCCTTCTTTTTCATTATAGTAATTCTATTAGAATACAACATTTTTACAAGTATTTCTAATTGACTTGTGATTGTAGACAGACCTAAATAAATAAAAGAAAGTACAAATGTACATGCAAATGCAAATGTGAATGCAAATGGGAATAATAATAAAAAAGGGGAGTAAAGGAGTGAAATGTTATGATTATTTTCTTGGGGGTAGACACATACACACAAAGAGAGAGGGAGGATTAGATATATTTTATATTTTATATTATCAGCTATGATAGTTGGTTATTTTAGTTTGACTGGTCAAATAAACAATAAGATACAAAAAGGCTTGATATTGCATTGCCTTGCCTTACATTAAATTGTGTGTATGTTTTATGTTACAGTACAGTACATTACATTACAAGGAGGCAAGATTGTTAAGGTATGGGTAAAATGACATTCATACTATTGTGTATTGTGTATTGTGTAGTGTGCCTATTGAAATATGTTAATAAGAGCAATCAAGAATAAATTGATTGACTGATTGACCGATTGACTGGTTTAACTTGGCTGAACTAAATTCAATTCAATTCAATTCAATTGACTGACTAACTGACTTGTGAATGAATGAATGAACAAACTACTAATTGAATATTGTATCTGACATATATAAACTTGTACTATAGTGTAGTGTAAAGGATACAAATGCAAGTATGTTTTGCTTCTACTATTGAATATTCAATCAAACAAGGGTATCATTTTATGTACTATATGCACCTTTCTTTTCTTCGTCTTTTGAAAATCAAGAATCAAAGTTTAAAAAAATAAAATAATAAATAAATACAATGTACCATGAGGCTGAAATAATTAATGCTTATTAGCTGTAATCCTATTGCTTTATTTTGCTTTGATTGTTTGTGTTCCTGTTGTTGTTTAAAGAAGAAGAAGAAGAAGAAGAAGAAGAAGAACTCGGGATATTTCCCGGTATAGAAATACATGGATTTTTGATTTTTATTCTAAAATATATACATAAAGAAAAAGAAATGGACAAAAAAAAAGCTTAAATATATTTAAAATAAAAAATAAAAAAATATTTTTTTTTTGTACATGAAAAATGATGACAAGTAAATCAAAAATCCAAAAAAAAAAAAAAAAAAAAAAAAGCAAATTCGCATGGCTACCCGAACAGACAAGGAGAATTATATCTATAAAAAGGAGGGATGAAAAGAAAAGTGATAGAAGGGGGGTTAGGTTTTGAGTTTTTTTTTTTTTTTTTTAAAAAAAAAATGAAAAGGTTCTTTGTTAGGGTAACCAAGTTTGTAGTGTTTTGGTTTGTGATAGATCAGACCCGACCTTGAGAGCCGTACAGACAAAATCACTTGTGTTTTTGTGTCTTTATTATTATTGATATTGCACAATGGCGTAAAAAATTATAATTATAAATCCCTTTCTTTATCCAATTCAATATATGGAATCTTATAATATCATTCCTTGTCCCTTGAAATCTGGACAAAACAGACAGATACATATATTATTATTATTATTAGTAGTAGTAGTAGTAGTAGTAGTAGTAGTAGTGATTTGTTTCTTAATGATACTAATGTATGTATGTATATATTTGGCGCCAAAATCAAAATCATAATCATAATCGAAAATCTATTAGAAGAACAAAGGTTTCAATTATTCTATGAAAGAAAAATCTTGATATTCATCAGGTGTCTGAACCCAGGTCTGGAAACATTGATCAAGCAGACATTGTTTTGCTTTTTGATAATCAATTGCTTCTCTTTTCCACTCCAGGTATGTCTTGGGTTCTCCTTTGTGGCTACAAAGGAAAAGTCAATAGATTAATTACATTGTGTTTATCATCTTGGTCAGTAAAGAGAAAGACTGATTATATAGCTACTTTGTATATTACTAATGACGAGCAAACCCAAATTTTGATTTTGCTCCTCTTTTAATTTTTTCATCATTATAATTCTTTACCTCAAAAGAAATCGATTGAATAAAGAAAGCTTGCAGATTAAAGGTCTAAAGATATATGTATGTATGTGATTTGCTTAGTATTTTAATAAATAAAATAGAAATCCTTGATTTTTATCACAACCAATTTATTTTCATAAAGATGTAAGAAGAGATCATCCTCATAACCATCAAAGTATATCAAAGCAAAAATAAATAAATAAATTTACCTTGTTTTTGGGTTGGTTGGCTTGCCTTTTGGAACACCTTGCTTCCTTCCATGCACAATGACTTCTGATCTAGGCATTCCTGCAACCCATGAAATGGCTACATTTTGTGTGAGATCAATAAAACAAACAAACAAAAAAGTAAGGTAAATGCGTCTAGTTTGACTTGCTTGATTTCCATTCAAATCTAACCTATATAGATAGATACCAAAAAAGTATAATCTTATTTTATTTTTCTTACCTGCCCCGCTTGATACTAATGTTGAATATTTGCCTGTAGATTCCAGTACACTTTTAGATGCTTCAAATGAAATATCTGTAGGATATATCTTTGGTCGATGAAGTCTATAAGGAACAGGCAAATCTACCCAAAAAAAAATAATAATTTAAAAACGAAATCAGATGCATACAAAAGTACATTATGTGTATGTAGTTTCTTTTTTAACATTCATCATTGATTTCTTTATTTACTTGTATGTATCTCCTTTAACCCTCAAACTCACCCTTGACCTCAACATTTACCACCCCCAAAATACATAATAAATACATATATACACCCCTGCATCTTGAATCAAGAAAATAATTCCTACCTTGTAGTGATTCCAATCTACCGTAAAGGGCTCTCTCAAGTGATTCCTTTTCAAACATGTCACTCACGACAATCGAGTCTAGATAGACTGGCTCAAAGATGTTGGACAATAGAGCCGATTGTAACCCAAGTACATTCCAACGAGCGATCTTGTCGCTATGTAAATAAAATGAAATGATTTTAAATGAAAAAAAAAACAAAATAATAATAATTATTTTATTATTTTACCTGCAGGACATTGACAGGGTTGGCTCAGAATCAACTCTGCCTAATTGATCATACACAAAATAAATAAATAAAAAAAAATGTTACATTTAGGGTGTTTCAAACAAGAAAGAACATACATAAACAAGACTCACCTGGTTTTGTTCGAAGTACACCCAGATGATCAAATCCAAAGCGACCCCTTTGAAACATTGGATTGAGATGCAGGACTCTTGAGCCCTCTGAGCCCTCACTAATAACGGTGGTCTTGCGTTTCTTGTTTGCATAAATGTTTTCAAGGAGCTGGCGTTCTTGATTTACATCCTGCTTTCTTTTGCCGGCCATGAATGCCTCTAATGATTCGGGTTTTTGGGCTTCGGCTAACATGGACATTGAAGCATCACCACCTATAATAATAAAATTATTATTTTTATTTTTATATATAAGCCAAATGAAAACAAGTACTTGCATGGTGATTGACTGATGTACATGTGAAAGCTATACTCTGGACGTAACTTTATACCACTCTCTGAAGAATAGAATGGACTATCGACCTCTTCAGATGATTTGAGTTTCTCTGCTTGTTCCAGTGCATACCTTGCAAGAAGAAAGATATAAATAATCATAAATAATTATAAATATATATATACTTTATAAAGCCTCTCCGACAAATGACTTCTGCATGATTGTCATTAACAAGTTCTCCAGTCTTGCAGAGTTTACTGTAGGGCAGGCATTTGAGTCCTGTGCTGTAAATAGACACATAAATATATATATATATATATATATATATATATATTTAAATATATGCAAATAAACGCATATTTATAATTTTTATTATCAAATCATAATTTTGTACAAGATATATATATATATATATATATATATAAATATAAGATTACCCTAATGAAATGACTTGAATAGAATAATCATCCTTGGATGCTACAACAATTTATTTATTTATTAAATTTTAAATTTTAAATTTTCTTTTTTGACGTACAGGTATAGACAGCTAATATACAAGCCAATACAGTCCACTCTGCTTTGTTTGAATGGACTAATGGTTTTCCCTGCTTATCTAATTTATTGAACTTTTTTATGCTTTCGGCAGCAAGAAGATTAGGAAGATTAGGAATATCTTGCCAACTAAACAATCTCGACTCAGACCCCATTTTATTCTATATTTTATTTTATAATTACTAAAAAAGTTAAAGAAAAGAAGAACTGTAAAAAAAAAAATTATTTATTTATTTATTTAAAAAAAAAAGTTGGTCACTCTAAAGATAGTCACAATTATATATATATATATTTCTTTAGTTTCGCGTTGCCTTGACAACAAATTAAAATAAAAGAAAGATAGAAAAGAATACATGTGTAAATAAATAAAGTTTACTGAGCTTGGTGATAAAATATTATACATGGAATGAATACCTTGCATTAGCTACCATACTTACTTTAGATGAACACAGAAAAAAAATTATAAAACACAAATACGTAACACTTGTAACTTGCACTGCACACTATACTATACTATACTATAGTATACACATGTACATCAATGTGTGTGTTTGTGTACTTGATTATTAGATTATTTATATAGAGTATACAATAGAGTATATATATAAATAAAAAAAAAAAAAAAAAAAAAAAGAGTGATGTATAGAATTTTTTTTTGGGGGATGGAAAAGAAGGAAAGAGGGGGTGGGATGAATGGATTGTTTAAGATGGAGATGGAGAGGAGAGGGAAAAATAAATAAATATATAATGGGTCACAGGAGGAGAAAGAGGAGGATAAACAAAAAAGAAAAAAGAAAAAAAAAAGGCTCCCGTTCCCCTCTATCTATCTATGGCTTTGTCTCTCCACCAATTCTAATTTTATTATTATTTTATATTATATTCAACCCCAAGATCTTGTAGACTAAGAAATTATTACTTTCTTTAGACAGACAGATATCCTGTTTAATTATTATAGTCAATACTGATTGACTAACTAATAAAGAAAGAAAAATAGTGTATTTTATTTGGAACGTATGAAAAATGTAAAGAAAATAACAATAATATAAATAAAAGAGGGGGAGAAGAGGGGGGGGGGGAGGATAGATAGATAGATAGATAAATAGATAGATAGATTAGTGAGGGGGGGGAGGAAACAGATATTATTTTATAAGATGAAAAATGATGAAGTCAATCAAGTAATCAAGTAATTTACTAGAGTCATTGAGTAATAAACACATTAAAGAGAGGCACAAAGATCCTTTTTTTTTTTAGAATAAAATTTAAAGTGGGACAATGAGAACTAAAAAAAAAAAAAAAAAAAAAAGCTCCGAATTTTATTTGGGCTTGATAGAACCAAAGTAAAGTAAAGTAAAGTAAAATAAAAAAGTTATTATTATAAACGATAAAAAGTATATATTCAACATAATTTTTATTTTTTATTTATTTTTTATTTATTTTTTATTTATTATTTTTTAATTTTTTTTTAATTTTTTAATTTCTTCTTCTTCCTTCTTCTTCTTCTTCTTCTTCTTCATTTTACATATATAATTCCAATTCCAATTTCAATTTCAATTTTTATTTTTATTTTTATTTATTTTTTTATTAAAATAAAAATTGAAAAATTGAAAAATTAAAAACAAAAATCAATTGAAACCCTCTTTTCTTTTTTAAAATTACTCTATCCAATCAAGACCGACCAAACGATCAAAAAAAAAGCAAAGCAAAGCAAAGACGATCAATATCATTTTATAGATATCAACAACAAAAGCAACAAGAATTATATATAATATAATATAATATATATATATATATATATATATATTTATAAACATTTTGTGAATTATCCCTCATGTCACCTTGTCCAAACGATTCAATCTATCCATCCTCTTCAGCAGCACTTTTGTCATGTACAAACACCAGCCAATTAGCAGACCTCTGTGCATTTGCAGTCCCAAATATCTGGGCTGGAACATCCACCGGAATACACAAGCAACAACAACAACAAAATTCATTTATTCATCCAAAACGCCAAGGAACCTTTAAAGTCTTTTGTCAGCAACTCATCAAAGCAACCCAGATTTCATGCGCATGCATTGTCTTGGCACTCTACTATGTCAACCGACTCAGGGAAGCATATCCATTTGTCCAGGGCTCAATTGGATCAGAAGTTCGACTATTCACTACAGCACTAGTACTGGCCAACAAATATCTTGATGACAATACATTCACAAACAAGGTAAGAAATTAAATAAATAAATAAATAAATAAATAATTAATTAATTAATTAATATTAATTCAATTCAATTCAATTCAATGCAATATTTTGTTTGTTTTTTTTTTCTTTATTAAGACTTGGGCAGATGTATCACACATTCCAGTCCATGAACTCAATATAATGGAAGTCGAATTCTTGTCGGCCCTCAACTATCGAATCCATGTCCCTCATCAACAATTCTTCTCCTGGGCAACCCAATGCCAACAATGGATGCCATTATCTTCATCTCACCTGCGTCCAATCAAGATCCCTAGTCGTCTAGCCCACCTCAAACCCATCAGATACTCTTCCTCTACCTCCTCCTTAGCACAACAACAACAACAACAACAACAACAGTCTCAGGTACACCATACACATCAATATACACAACAACAACAACAACAACAACAACAACAAATGCCAGTATCAATGTCAGTAATGTCAATAATGTCAATAATGCCAATATCAATGCCACCCACAATGCCACTGTCCCACTCTCTTCCAATCCTACCGTCCTTAAAACGATCGGCACACCAGGCATCAATCACGGATTCAAATTGCTACAATCCCGAGCAGATTACCAAACGACACTTGCCAAACACACCGCCGTCAGAAACATTCTCTCACACCAGTCTGCACACCAGCACATCTTCGATATACTCCAATTCTCTCCAGTCATCAAGCCAAAATCCACTCTGGAAACCAATCTTGAGCTGGTCCTCATCGTCACGTCACTCTACTCCAACCACCACTCCTCTGCCAACCATGTCTCTCTACAGCTACTCAACCACATCTGCCGCATCTGCTGTAGCACCTGCAGCTGCTGCAGTAGCGGCCATGTCCACAAGCCATTCTACAATGCTCTGTGCAAGAGTTAGATGTCTTGAAATTGAATAATCTTTTCTTTTCTTTTCTTTTATATATACACAACATCATTTTGTACATAGCATTCTACCTCTTTTCTTTCTTTTTTTTTTCTATATTCCAAAAAAAAATTGTATACTCTTTTTTTGTCTTTTATCTATCTATTTATTATTACTATTACAATTTACAAAATATTATTATTATATATATACACACACACACTACACTACACTACACTACACTACACTGCACTGCACTGCACTGCACTGCACAAATGCACGTACGCATTATATGTATATATAAATGAAAATAAAATAAAATATAATAATTATTGTTATTTATTTATTTATTTATTTATTTCAATTTATCCATTTCTTTATCTATTTATTTATATATACAATACAATACAGTGCATGACATGACATAGCATAACATAGCATAACATAGCATAACATATGTACATTTGTTTGTATTTATTTGTATAAATATATTTATAAAATTCCAAGAGGTTGATATACTGATTAATAGTGATATTAATGATAATGGTAATGGTAACCAATTGATTAATTGATCAGAATTGTACTGAAAAGAATAATGATAATAATAATAAAAATAATAAAAATATCAAAACATTCATATCAATTTCGGCTATTTGACTGTAAATTGTAAACTTTTTGATAGGATACACAAATAAATAATATATATATATAAAAGAATCAAATACATAACTTTTGTAGTTGAATTTCAAGTCTAAAGAAAAGCAAGAATGAGAGATGAAGATTTGTGTATATTGTTTTTTTTTTTTTTTTTGGTTATTACTATTATTCGATTGATGACCGACCAAGGTTGTATTCATTAAGACATTCATTCAGACATTCATTCATTCATTCAGACATATACAAACTTTTCAAATAATAAAAGTAAAATACCAATCGAATTCTCCATGATTTGTATTCTTGTACAACTCGGCTTTGGCCAGAATTAAATCTAAATCTAAATCTAAATCTAAATCTAAAAAAGAAAACCTCTTGCTTGTTGTTTCGATAGAGCTGCCTGTCTTGCTATTTTATTTTATTTTATTTTATTTTGTTTATTTATATTAATATTAATGTATCCGATGATCTTTCTTGCAATTATATTACTAGTATAAAACTGTTGGTATTACTACAGTGATAGTTGAACAAGTATTTGTATTTGTACACATATTATAATATATAATAGACCCAGCTTGTGGATTGTTGTAAATCTGTATGATATTTGACGCACCTTTTTGGACTTTATATATCCAGCACATGTATATTTTCTTTTTTGTACAACAGCACTTGACCGAACCTGTATCTTGCTGGTCTCTGTACTACATTCAAAATACAAAATATATATATATATATTTATATCCTTTTTTAGATTTACGCATAGTGCGTGTGGTAAATGACGGATAGAATAACAAAAAAAAATTTTTTTTTTTAAGTACAAGAACCCTTGTTTTTTTCTTGGGTATACACAATATATATATAATTTATAATAGCCAAATATTATCATTAGTATTAGGATGACTATTCCTTTATTTTTATTTTTCGGGGGGAAGACGGAGAAAATCAAAAATCAAAAATCAAAAATCAATCAAATTTATATATTCTTACTCAGTGAAACCCCCTCCTTTTTTGTTTTGCTTTTTTTTTTATATATATGATCGATCAATCAATCAGTGCTATTATTAATTGATTGAGTGATTGTATGGGTAAATAGGCGATGTACATCTAAAATGATTAAACAATCTTACCAACATCATGACGCAAATAATAATAATAATAATATAAAATATAAACAATTTCTTATGTCAGTTGATCATCTTTTATGTAAACCAATATACCATTCTTGGCATCCTTTTCTTATATAAACCCGGACCAATCTTTTCCTTTCCTTCTTTCTTTTATTTTTATTTTTATTTTCACTCCCCAATATATATATATAACCTTGAATAAATAAAGAAAGAAAGAAATATATAGCACTCGGCACAAAGTACCATGAATTACATAATAATTCGTTTACTATTCGTATCTTGTTATTCACGGTCTGCAGTTCTTTATAGAGCAATAAACGTGCAAAAAAATATATGAAAGTTTAATGCTATAAAATAATCAGCCATGGGAAACCTTATAATTTCCTTTTTCTTCTTCTCTTAAACTTAATAATGCTATTATTTAAATACGTTGCATAATACTAATAGACAATTGTCTAGACTTGGTCTTCTTTGTATATAATCATACAATCTTAAAATACATAACATCTGTAATAGCCAAATAGCCAAATAGCCAAATAACCAAATAGAGCAATAAAGAGGTTCATTTTCATAAACATCGGCTGTACTGTACACAAAACAGACAAATAAATAAATAAATAAATAAATAAATCATTTTCCAGAGTCTAGCAGGTGTTTCTATTACAGATGAGTGCAAATATGTAATGTGTTTCAAGTATTAACTCACACGCATACACAGACAAGCGCACAAACGAACGAACGAACGAACGAACGAACGAACGAACGCTCGCATGGTTGCATGGTTGCATGGTTGCATGCACGCACTAATGTATAGCATCGATAAAATAAAAAATGACCTGATTGTGATATCCAATCCAATAGGTTTATTTCTATCTTTCTCCCTGTCTGTCTCTGTCTCTGTTCTTTTACACCAAGACTTATTTCCTTTTCCCTTCTATCCGAGCTATACTCAAAAATGATAATAAAAATAATACACATCTTTCTATCTTATTTTTGTATTTTGTACACAGCCAGATGGGTTACATTTCTTTTTCTTTCTTTGTTGTTGTTGCCACGCTGACAAATCAAAATGTCTCATTTCCAGAATATTAGCTTTTTTTGTCAAATTAATACTATTAATTATAATTATGATTATCATAATAACAATTCAACTAGTGTTGGCTTTTATTTTTTATTTTATTTTTTATTATTAAAGGGAATCACAGACAATTTACCTTGTATTCTAGTGTATTCTAATGTATTGTATTGTTTGATCACATACCATTTCTTTTTTATATTATTTTGGTATTTATCAACTTGAAACAATTAGGCTTCTTGTACACCACATCTTTATTTATTTACTTATTATATAAAAATAAATATCATTCCAAATATTTATATATATATATATTTAAAAGAATTTCAAACAACAAACCAGAAACAACACCAATAATATAAATACCATGTGTCTAGAGCTTCTTTATTTTTACCCATTTGTCTGCAACTGAAAAATATTAATAAGATTATGAAGAAGAAAAAAAAAAAAAGTCAGGTTGGAGGACAAACCAAATAATAATCTTTTAATTCAACTGGTTGTGATATGATGAGTATAAGACATCTTCTTCTATCTCTCTCTTTTTTGGGGGGAAAGAATAATAAGGTATGTCTCCTTGACTCTTGTGTTTTCTAACCTGATTCTATAGTACTCTTAATACATACCAAGTCTTCCCCACCTCCTTCTTTATTTCTCTCATGATCATTACAAGCTGTAGGTATTCTTTCTTGAAATTCTTCTAAAAATCATAACCATAGTAATTACTTCCAGACCTATTCTGTAAAAAAAAATATATATATATAATATAAATTTACACCTAATTCCCCAATTGGTTCATCCAAAAATAAATAAATAAATAAATTATAAGCAGTTTTATCAATATGCTGTTATTATGATCATCATAATAAAAGTCTCTAAATCCTACCGATGAATAAATTGACAAAACAAACAAGAATCTGCTTTGGAACAACCCATTCATTAGTACAATCAATATAATAATAATATGCTATTGGTGTCTGTAGCATACTTGTTGATCCAATACACATCGATCGAACACACAACAAAGTGTGATTTCATACACCTGATGAAAGTAAAATTTATTCGCAAAAATAAAAACAGTTACTTGATAAATACAATCAAGTATAAACTTTATATAATAAAAAAAAAAAAGTCATATACATACATAATATCTTGTCTTTATTTAAACATGCAGTCTCACTTGTTCATATTCGGCACTTTGGCTGTAAATAGTCGATTGACAGAAACAAAAGAAGTATATATATAAAATTGAGGGGGTTGAGTGTAGAAAACTACTAAATCTTTCAAGTGGTGTGATTAATTGAAAAAATATAATATAAAATTAAAAAAGAAAGTGAAAGTGTCAAGTGTTCCAAAGTATTCAATCGAATATAAACCCCATATACTTTTCTTATTTCTTTAAATTCTAAAATAATAATAGCTATAATTATAATAGGTCTTTAAAGATAAAATCAAGCATTTACGCCAAAGCTTACGAAAGAAAGAACCCAAGAACCGGATTCTTGGTATTGTAATATGTAAAAGACAACAACACCAACGACATAGAAACTATATTTTAGAGAGGAAATCAACTTACAATAAGTCGTATAGATTGTCAGAAAACCAAAACCAAAAAAAAAAAAAATGGGAGAGAACTTTCGATCAACCGTAGTTACGCTAACAAGATGTCTTAAACACAAGAGAAAACCAGAATCTTGATAGAAGTATCTCTAACAAGGCCATATTATGGTTTCAGTAGGTAGATATCACAACCCAGATAGATTAACAAGCTCGTAGAAACTTATTAAAAAAATTGGTGTTTTGGGGATAAGAAATTTTATCGATGAAACATCCCCTTAAAGTGTGTGCTGGCAACTGGAAATCGGGCAATACTACTACGAGGTTGATATATCCTATATAGTACACATCTTGTAGAGCAATATTGATGAAAAAAAAAACAAAAACATTACAGACGAGTGTGGTGGTACCCAACACCCACTTTTTTTTTCATTTTTTGAAAGAACGTCGATCGTCACTTGAACTGCTTTAACGGAGTTGAGTTTCACAAGTTCCTTTTCAGTGAAGAGGACTAAAGTGAATGGAGTCTTCCATTTACTTTTCACATCTCTTGTAACCTTTCATCATTGACGTGTACGCCTGCATAAAAAAAAAAAAAACTAAAGAGAAAAAATGCGTGACTATTCTTATATGCATGTGACTACTAGAGCTAAAGGCTATGAAAAAAAAAGCAAAAAAGTAAACAAAAAAGGACGCAAAAAAAACAGAAAAAGACGAGCGACAACGATGCGAAACCTTATTTACCATCAAGAACTACGATTCTGCTCATGTGAATAGCTCATTAGCTTATATATAACTCTCATAATGTTCTTGCAGAAATGAGTTTGTCAGACCATTGCGCATTAAAGATCAATTCCATAGTTTTCTCATTCAGCCTGACGTCCGATGTTGATTCGCGCATCCTTTTAACAGCCACTAATGATAGAAAGCAAGTGTTTTTAGGGTAAAAACCAGAATGCACACGCGTTTAAAAATTGTTAAAGTCTTGAAAGTACTTGGCATATATATGTACAGTCGATATCTGATTAATTTCTTAGAAATATAAAAGAGTTTTGACTATTACAAGAACTAGGAGCTTTGCTCCCCCCTCCCTTTGGGGGGGGGGGGGGGGGCATTGGGCTACGTTAAGTTCTATGTAACTGTTCCCTACTGGTAATAGTGTACGGCACACAATTACCAAGTAGTATAGGTTTTTACATTTTATTTTAGTGAGAAATAGCAAGTAAATTAGAGAACACGTGACCGATTAGAAGGGCTAAATCACATGATCTCTAATTTCATCCTGTCTTTCTAATATGATGATAATATCTAAAGCTTTATATATGATACCAAAAAGTATATATACGTTTTAATATTAAAAAATATAGGATACAGAAGAAATACAAAGGAAGGCTTTACAAAAGCTTGATTTTATTTTATAGAATTTTGTAAAGCCTTTCAGAAGGAAACTACTATGCCAAGATATCTCGTTACACGCTTGATAGTTATTTTCTTTTTCTTTGAGCCTCGATCTTTCCAAGCTGTTTGCAGATCGGGGTTTATTATATTTTGCAGGAAGATAATTTAGTTTATATTAAAGTACTCAAAACAAACCATCCAAACAAACAAAACTCCCTCAAAAACAATTGTGTTCCTTTCTGAACACACGATAAATACAGGTACTTGTTCTCATCTACAAAGAAAAGTTATATTAAAGTACAGTGGTCCCTCAATAATTTCAAGGCCAAGTGGGAGTTAAATGCCTCGAAATTATCAAAGTGAAATTAAAAGGGGTTGAAATTATCGAGAAGCTACTGTACTTTATTTATTTTCCCTTAACAACAGCAATACTGAGAGCATATTCCATTTAAATAAATAAACAATATAAGCTTAAGATTGTTGAATTGATTGCTGAAACAAAAAATCGTTTGCTTACAAAAAAAAAAGAAAGACTATTTTGATCAAAATGTCAAATAAGGTACAGAAAATCAACTATATATCAAAACTGACCGGGTACATAGCTTATACATATATAAGTAACCTAATTAGACACATTGCGATCAACCATATAAAAGTTATTTGACATCAATTGCTCAAATATTGATCAAACTATCTGATTTATTCACTCTAAAAAAAAGCAATTTACTAGTAAAGCCTGATCTATTTGCACCAAAAAGTCCGTATTTGATGACACTTTTTCTCAAGGCATACACCTAAAAAACATTAATTTTTTTTCTACAAAGTAAAGTTGTGTAGAACGCTAATCCAGCATGTTTAGTACTTGTCTGACCAGCAGCGAGTCAATATTCGTGGAGATATCAATAGATTTAAAAGTGATAATACCGATATTTCTACTACAAGGTCTTGTTTAAATCTCAGATATTAAAAGGATATATGCACCAAATATTATTCGACTGTGTGATTGTAAATTTTGTAATTAATTAGCACAGAACATCACAAAGAATAATAGTGAGATAAATAAAAAAAATAAAAAATAAACACTATATAGGTTTGTTATTTCTTACAGAAAATTCCAATTGATATATATATATATATAGCAGCCAGAATATCTATATAACTAGACAAGGTATATACTTTATAAATTACTATTATTCTAAAGGTCAGCTGGAACAGGAACAGGAACAATGGCAAATCCAATAACAGGGAAATGAATAAAAACTTCTAGAGATGATTCCTGATCGATATGTTTTAAGACAACTTCCTGGCTTGTCAAATGCACAAGTGATCCAACTACAGGGATCTTCCCAGTGTCTACCGGAGTAACAGACACAAGCATGTCAGTCTTCAAGGAAGTCCCAGTTGGCTTAACCTCTCCCTCAAACTCCAGACCTTCCTTCTTAGCAATTTCAAGTGCCTCTTCTGCAGAAATGCTTGGCATACTTTTGATCCTCTCATAGTTTCCAATATTGAGAACACGAGCCTTGTGTGCCGCAAGCTTAGGGAAATTTTCCTTTAGCCAAGTCTCGCCCATAAGTCCTCCAGCAAACATAGTATCGGTCGCAAAATGGAAATCTGCCATTGAAGGAAGCTGGGTACCCAAAACCCATTCTTTGCTACCTTGGTCGTTCTCCAAGAGCAGTTGCTCGGCAACCTCGAATTGAGCCTGGATCTCAAGTTTCAAAAAAGGAGCAATTTCAGCCATTTGGGCAAAGTCAATTTCTTTTCCAAGGTAAGCAGCCCGGTCATTTGCAAAACCCTCTGGGAGCTTCATGGAACCGCATTGAGAGACGAGTGCGAAAAGTAGTGTACTGTCGGTCCATTGGCTAAAGGCCTTACAAAGAGCTTCTGTGGCCTGTCCCGATCGGGTAGCGGGATAAAATGAGGGTTCAGGGTATCTAAGATCAGATAGATGTAATTTCAGAAAAAGTAGGTCAATGACAATGCTGTCTTGAGATATATTTTGTGGGTTTACCTTTTCTCAAGTTCAGCAATAATCACCTTTGTATCACAAAAGATGTGGTTATTGATTTGGAGAATTGGAGTTTTACGGTAGCCACCATCAAGCGGTCTGCGTAGAGGACGAGGCTCAATCATGTTGATCAAGACTGTCTTGTAATCAACCTTCTTGTAGTTGAGATCCCATGCAATCTTTTGGGCGAAGAGTGATTCAGGGTACCAGTGCTATTCGTGAAAAGAAAAAGGAAACATGTTCAATATATGATTCAAGTGAAAAACAAGTTCTGTTTCTTTAGCTTTTTTACCAAAATAACGCTAGGAGACATGGTAAATGAGAGATACTCTGGGAAGAAAGTCAAAAAATTGGGTGTGGTATGTAATAAATCTATGCAATATATCCATTTATAATGTGTATATATATATTAATTTACAGCTTTTAGTTTTGTGATTTTCGCTAATTAAGTTGAATTAACTACTTTTGATCTGTGAGCTGGAAAATTAAATCGCTTACGTTTATTGCTTTTCTATGTTTATTTTCGCAATCGATACGCATAAACGTATATACACAAATGTATGCACACACACAGATATATATCACATATAACAGAATTTTTTATTTTATACAGATAAAAATAAACAAGGTATTAGGTAGGCTAAAGAAGTTAATAAACGAATTGCTGCTAGACCAGTATTTACCCACAGAATGACTGACATGTAAGTGGTCCCGATAGACTCTTGATAAATTGTGTCGAATTCTGTAGAAGTGATACACACGCTTAAAAGGGCATTACAGGCAATCCAAACCAAGTCCAAATGGGATCGGAAAAAGTGGTGGTAGTCACCTTGGGTTTAGTGAAAAGACTGAAAGGGTATTAACCTCAATTAGAAATAAAAAGTTTATTATTATGGATGGTGTTGGTATCGGTATCGGTGACGGTGACAGTGGAAGTGACAGGATTGCTTAGAATTCTTTTGCCACGTCTTTCTTTTCTTCTTCATCTCATAGCACACAGCTCTTTCGCACTTATCTCACTTTGGTCGTAGAAGACGATGTGAAGAATTAGTCAATATGTAACGGTCTCCCTATATGTCCTACCTACCCTTTCGACCACTCTTTCAAACCATCATCTTTCACTTTAAAAAATATAAAAATCTCAAACACACCATATAATAAATAAAATCCAAAACAAAAGTTACGACGTCATATTTTCTTCACAGCAATAAAAGTTCACCAACTCTCTTGAGCACAAGGATCCCTACAGACAATTTGTTCTCGCATAGCAAAATACTCCTTCAAAACTGTGAGTTAGTTTGGTAGGCAATCAAAAAACTAATCTGTTTAATTAAATGGCCCATTCAGCATTGCTCGAAGAAAAATATCCTATCTGGCCTTTAAAATAAGATCCTGGCGAAAATATCTTACGAGCAAATTGGTGTTATACCACTCGAAGATTATATATTTGGTTGTTCATTATCTAGCTAGCAATGTATATTATCACTCGTATAAAGTCATGGTATATGTTTAACATGTAAATTGCTTATATGTGAAATCAAGTATTCCAGTCTACAGTTATATTCTAGCTCACGCCAAATGGACTACCACCAACAACGCATATACTTTGTATGTCACGCGAGATGCGAAGAATGATAATGTTATTCCAGTACTAGTTGCTCTTCACGAAGAAGTTAATTATGCTAAAATTTTAAAAACTATCAATTTATGTGCGATGGTCTACGTAGGGTTTAGGCTCTTGTCCACAGTTCTGATGATCTCTATCAGTGGCCCCTATAGTCTAAAAGACAACAACGTGTTTGATGCTGTTGCCAATTCATTTTTGGTACATGCAAGTCCGACTTCTTGCGCACTGGGGCATTTATGTTTAATTAGTTGAACTTCTCTCTATTATATTTATTTAAATTATCGCAAAAAATGATGCCAAAAAGGATTTCAATACACAGCAATTTGTGATCAATGTCCAAAATATCGAAAAATATCTTAATATGTTTTTATGAATATAACCGTTTTGATTTGGGCTCAAAAATAATAACTAATACTGATATTTTTAATATTATTTTCATGTACAGTCAAAGCTCGGTATAGTGATATTCGATATAGTGATAATCGCGATATAGTGATAATTTTTTGGAAAATTTGGGCCCGTGCCTGCTTATTATCACTATTTTTCGATATAGGGATAGTGATAAAATTTGAATCCACCAGTATCACTATATCGAGCTCTGAGTTTATTTTTGTACTATAAAAAATAAATGTAGTATATATTTTATTTAGCATTTTAAAGCAAGCCCAGTTTCTTAGACAAAATACTATAAATCCTATTAGAAAACAGTAGTCACTCACAGCGGCATTAGAAATATCACTAAATAATTCGCGGAGTAAGAAAAAAACACGCTCGATATAGTGATAGTGATAAAATTTCTGTCCACCATCCATATCACTATATCGAGCTTTGACTGTAATTGATTGGGAATAAGGGATTCAAAGCGTATCAATATATCTGATGTATATTTAAATATCACTCTATTGGCTGAAGAGTATAAAATTGATTTCAAGTCTCATAGTAAGATTGAATACAAATATTGTGCTTTATTGACTAAACAATAGTAAGGGCAGGTTACTCAGAGTTTATGTACATAAGTACATCTGCTAATAAAACAACATAACAATGAATAAAGAGAAATTCAAACTATCACTGCAGATATTTGTTATCTTTATAAAGCATACTTTATTACAAACATCTTATTTATTAAATTATTTTACAAACCAAGTGAAATTATTCTAATCTTTGTCTTCGTTTAGTATCAGAATTAGGTAATTAATACAGATTGGATGTACCCTCCCATTTGTATTCAATAAAATGGCTTTCAACAGATTTGAATTAAAATATCATGGAACCATTTTGAAGATCTCTTTTCCCGTCCTTTTCTTTAAAGACCTTACAGTATCTATGGGCAAATTCAATGGCACTTCATCCAAGTCCCCATGCCAAAAATCTAATTATTATGCTTGTTTTGTTTTAGAACACATATTACTAGTTGGATTGAGATAGCTGTTCTTGATTACTTTAGCCCAACTGGTTATCGGCGCTAGCATTATTCATCTACTCAGTGACAATATGTCTAATATAGATATTATTATATATATTATTGGCATGATAAATACGGCTACTGTATGCTTTTACCATTTTTTATATCTAATACAGTTAGCTTGTGGCAAAATACAAGTAGTTTGATTTGTATGCTTGGATTACAAGCATAGGTGATACTCAAAGAATTTAATGATTCAGAAAAATATTTGATCCAACTGCTTATATCAAATTATTTTTGTGTTTTACAAGAAAATGAAGGTTACAAGAGACTCTTGCCGTGGATAGATATATCTTTTACTTGTGAACAAGGAAAAAAAAAGTTTGGCGAATAACAGTATTTGAAGTTGACTCTGATATTGCTGGTCATCCCAAAATATTTCATTATCATTCATTGATGTTAGATATGCATTTGACGTTAAACTAGCTATTTCGCTTAATTTTTTTTTGACTAATCGTGAAGTGAAGAAGACAGGTCAATGCTTAAAGATGATCAAAGATGATTTCCAGTGCAGGTTCTCTACAGTCAAAGCGAAATTCCAAGTGGAGCAGTGTTTTCCAAAGACTCTACTCGTTTTTGTCTATTAGATTCTCATCACAGGAAAAATACGCTATTAAGATTTACTTGCGCAAAAATCTTTTGTCTAAATTTGTAATGTATAGATGTATAAATCATAAAATATGTATATATGTTTATATGTTTATATTTTCATATTAAAAATGTACCGTATTACTTCTAGCTATTTACTAAGCTTTTAAATTATTATTATTACTATTGTTGTTGTTTGTTGAAAATTGCCTTTTCATTCTTGATGTCCAATTTGCCATATAGCTCTGCAATCCGCTTCTCGTAATGAATCATGGCCTGATGGCGCTTGAGCTTGAAACTCGGTGTCAAGATATCGTTCTCAGTTGAAAATGGGTCGGTTTCCAGATAGATGGCTTTGGCCATTTCAAATCCAAGCAAGCCTCCTTTTTTAGCTGCGTAATTTAGCTGAGTCAAGACGGCTTCTTGAATGGCAGGGTTGTCACACTGACCCTGATAATCAAGGGTTTCTTCCGGAACAACTTGTTGTGCTAATTTATTCAATGCGACTGGATCTGGTACAATTACAGCCACCAAACAGGGTTGCAGCGAATCGCCGTGAACAAAGATCTGAGACACAAGCGGTTCTTTGACGTAAATATTTTCAATTTTCTCAGGAGCAATATATTCTCCCTGAGCCAGCTTGAAGATGTTCTTTTTGCGATCAATCAGTCGGAGACAGCCACGTTCATTAATTGCGCCAACATCGCCAGTGTGATACCATCCTTCGCTATCCAGTACCTCTCGAGTCTTCTCTTCGTCTTTGTAGTATCCAATAAATATATTTCTACCGCGCACACACACTTCACCACGAGGGAAAGGTTTGTCGGTTGACAAGTAATTCATATCTGGTATATCTACTAATTTGATTTCATTTGCTGGGAAGGGCGCACCAACATGGCCAGCTGTGTACTCTGTGAGATCCTGTCCGGTTGCAGCTGCAGATGTTTCTGTTGCACCATAGCCTTCGACAAGTGAGCACCCAAGAACGATTCGCATAAATTGAAGAATATCATTGGCAATTGGCGCAGCACCAGTAATCATGGTACGAACTCTGCCACCCAGCACGGACTTAATCTTGTTGAAAATCAGTGGATCCCAGAATGCGTGGTTGACACCACCACCGCTTGAAAGACGCTCGATTTTGGCCGAAACGGCTTTACGAGCAATAGCACCCTTGATACCAGGAGCTAGTATTGTTGCCTGCGCAATATTGCTGTAGATTCGATTCAACAAACGGGGAACGATGATCATAAAGGTTGGTTGCAGTGTCTGGATGTCGTTCATCAATAGGCTCATATCGCCGCGGAAATAACCAATTTGTGAGCCTGCCAAAATCAACATCCAATCCGCCAAACGTGCAAAAATATGTGCCAAAGGAAGATAAGAAATACTGATGTCGGTTTGTTTTGGGCAGTAGCGCAAGTATATTGCAGACACAGAAATCACACAATTATCTTGGGTTATCATGGCACCCTATGGTTATTATAAATTTTTTAAGGAAGAAAAAAAAAGAAATATTTATATATATTATTATTAATTGCATTAGAGATACACAAATATATAGGTATTATATATATATTATTAACTAACCTTTGGTAAACCTGTTGTTCCACTTGTGTACATAATACAAGTTAGGTCGTCTGGTGCTGCACAACGATGAGGTTTCTTCTTTGTCTCGCCTAATTTTTCTACCGCTTTGAACTCGACCAGGTGGATGTTCTTTTCTGCAGCCATAGCAATAATATCGGTGTCTAGAGTAGATATGATGGAACCAGGACCCTCGAATGGATCTAATGAGATGATCACCTTGAGACTGGGGATTTTCTCGCTTATTTTTAAGAGTTTTGGGATATGTTCGATTGAGCAAACGACAATCTGAAGTTCGGAGTGATTGATCGCATATTCAACAGCTTCGGGACCGAGTGAGTCGTATAGTGCCACAATAAAGAGTGAATAGGCACTACAGGTGATATCTGTAATAGTCCACTCAGGGCGATTGACAGACCATATTCCAACTGGATGGGCTTTGCTGTCTTTTATATTCAAGGTGTTTTCGAATAAGTCCAGAAGACCAGAACCGAAATTGTCGATTCGATCAGAAACTTCTTGGTAAGTTTCCCACTCATAAGGACCATATTCGCCGGTCTGTGCGTTTATTAATGGACGGCGTCCGAAGCATGGCTTATTTCTCGATATGGACAAACCTGAGAATTATAAAATTATATAAAATAAGAATTATATTACATTATATTACATTAGTATTATAATACTAGAAATTTATCATATGTATATTTTACCATTCGCAAAAATATCATAAGTTGTTTTTATCTCTGGCTTTACAGATTCAATGAGTTCAGGAAAGCTTGAATTTCGGTAGATGGCTAAAAACAATAATAATAAAGTTAAAGATTGTATATTTATACAAGAACTTTGACTATGTTTGTTAGCTGTACTGTATTTTCTTTACCTGTTTGACCAGGTCTCTTAGAATCCGGGACTTGTATGGTTTGGTTGTTGAGGTCTATAGGCATCATAAAATTTGAGAAAATAATAATAATGAGAAGAACGAGGAAGTAATTAATTCAAAGGCTTTTATAATAAAATAAAAATAAGCTTTTTTTTTATTCTTCTTCTTCTTAAATATTCAACACCCCAGTTGAACAAGAATTACAAAGTTTAATATAGTGCACCATTTCCATAAATTATTTAGAAACTATCCGAAGAAATAATAATATTGTACACTTTCCGATTAGTATTTGTTCGTGTGGAATTTTTATCATTAGCTCAGGATTATTGGTAAAAAAAAAACAAAAAAAACCTTTAGTGTGACAAGCTATAGAAACAGACATGACATTTGTTTAAAGATTTTGCTAAACTATTTGATGTTTTTTTTTGGATATTTTATTATTTATTTATGAAGAAACTTTTTTTAAAAAAAGGTAGAAAAAAAATTGATCTACCCGACTTGTAGGATTATAGACAAGCCATAATGAAAAAATCTTTCTTTAATTCATAAATTCCTAAAGTTAGGTACAAATTGACATCACAAAACCAACAAAGAGAAGTGTAGACATATATCTAAACAAGCCAAGTAGTAAAAAAAAAAAGAGCTCTTTTCACCCCAGATATTCTAATGTATCGAGCTCAAGAGCCTGATATTAATAAACCCCGATTTTTTTTAAATGTAACAAAAGAAAAACAAAAAGGGCTTTGTCCATGCACGCCTTCCAAATTTACCAGCACACATTCTGTTAGCATGAAAAGCGGTATTCTAGGATCTGGAGCTTTGTAAATCCTTGTGCAAATTTCGCATCAAACAAGATCTTCAAAATAATTTTCAAAGTAATATTTATATTAATGTATCTGAACAAATATGCCAGTAGTATCCAGCAAACCAATTGACAATTATTTTTGTGTTTAGACTATCTTTTTAGAGTAGCTTTTATATTTTAATATATATATATATATATACTTGGTGGGGGAATCATACCCACTTTTTGAGTTCCACCTAATAAATAGGCTCAGAATTAAAAATGATCTTGTAGTTTTGGTTCAGATTTTTTTTTGGTTGCTATTTTAATTAACGTTTAACTTTCTTTTCTTTCTTTCTTACGGTCACAATCATGACTCTTTAATATATCTTATAAGAGAATAGCTGCTTAACACAGCAAAGAATTAAAAGCCTAAAAAAGAAAATTCTTGGTAGAGTAAATGGCAGCGATTTACAGACTTTATTATCTTATGCTAGTCAAAAGCCATTTATACTACTTTCATTTGATCAGATATATATAATCTCTCAGCTAATTTTGTTTTGTGGTTTAGTTTTCCAATACCAAAAGTAACTAATGTTCCTCTCTATGAATATGAGATTTGTTTCTGCAATTGACCAGATTGTCCCAACAGTGTTTGAAATCGGGCGAAGGTTGATATTGTATTACATAATATAGATTTCTCTATCTCTCTCTCAATAACAAAATACCTTTCTTTCTATTGTATGTGAGAATAAGGGATGCTTCTTATCGAATATTGAATTGGAATATTAGTATAGTTAATTTTCTCTATGGATAAATAAAGATATTCTTATTATTATACTGATACTACACAGAAAATTACATGTTTTTATATATATTTATATATATATATATATATATCAGGCGCGTGTAGTATATTTTGATTATTGCCATACACCCACAAAGAGAATTCTTTCTAATTAAACTTGATTTGTCACCTTGGAAAACTTGGTATATATATATACTATTGGTACACAAGAATGGCAGTAGTGTCAGAAAAAAATTGCCCTATCTAATATTGTCTCATCTTGTCAAGTTTGTAACTTGAAAGCATCAAAGGAACCTTGGAGAAGAGAAAGTTTTCTAATGGGTTGATTAATTGATCTTTAGTATTGTTATTTGAAATTAATTTATATTATGTTTTGATTTGTTCTAATATATGCTCTTCTATCAGCTCACCAGCTGCTCTACATTTCTACTTTTTGTTGTTTTTTTTTCTACTATTGAGATCTGGAGATCTGGAGATTTGGAGATATTTAATATAAAGTATAATACAAATTACTGGTACTCGATTGTAAACCAAAATAATCTGCTTCAAGCTTTGCGATTTTAAGTAGATTTACGACTGATATTTCTCGTGCTCAAAAAGAGTTTTTGTCCTCGCGGTTATGAGTTGCAGGTGTAATTTGTAATTGACATTTGAAGTAGGAAAAAGAAACTGTTTACGGCATTTATTATGAGCTAAACATGTTCTTGTTCCTGATTAATATCAATTTACAGTCTCAAGCACTAACTACTGTGTTTGTATCTATGTCTGTGGGTATTGTTGTTTTATTTTGGATATACACTTTCTTGGGGTCAAATATTAGGTAAATCCTTGTACTAGGGATTCTGGATTGGGATATTAGTAATATGTATTCAATTGAAAATTAAAGAAGAATTATAGCAATATAAAGGCCAGTGTTCATGTATCTTTTATTTGATCTCAACATTTTTTTTTTATATTTGATTAAAGTCGTACATGTTTGACAATATTTTGTTTTTTTTTAAAGTCCTGGCTTCAGCTCAACAGTACGGGTTTTAGGATCTCCAGTAACATTGTGTCGAGCAACCTTTTTCAGCAATTCAGTGATAATCTCACGGTTACGCTCGTTCTTTTTAATGCGCTTCCTGAACCGCATTAAGAACTCCTTGGTTGTCATTCTCTCGCCTCGAAGTGTCTCGATAACCTCAGCTTCAGTAATCAAGTCCTCATCATTTCCAGTAGAAGGCTGTTGTTGAGAACTACTACTTTCACGAGGCGAGTGATGCGACTTATGCTTGTGTCTGGCCTCATGACTAACGTCTTCAGCCTTTCTTTTTTTAAGTACAGGACTTGCTTCACGCGCACTAGCCATATTATTACTATTAATACTGCTGCTATTGTTGTTGCTGCTGCTGCTACTGCTACTGCTGTGACTGTGATTGTGGTTGATGTTGTTGCTGGCACTAGGCCCAACATTTGCTCTGTTGGCATCTTCTCTCTTGATGTACAAGGAAGGAGAACCGGGTCGACCAATTGGCTTCGAAAGACCTTCCTTTTTTATCTTTGTAGCCATAGCCTTCTTGGGCATCATTGGTTTTACCGGAAGCACGGGCTTTTTCTTCACTGGCAGCACAGGCTTTTTAATACTCTCGGTCTCTGATTTGGAGTCTTCTTCTTCCACATCAGATCCGAGTTCTTCAGCCTGTCCATCACATCAATTCAAGTCCCCGATTATTATTATTTATGTATTTGTTTACTTACACTCGAAGCATATGGATCTTCTTCTTCGTCACTTTCATAAGCCCGGTTCTTCTCGAGATCACGAACCAATTTGCGCATTTGCTATATATATATATATATATATATGTGTGTGTGTGTGTGTCCAAAATGAAACGTGTGGGTTGGTTCGTAAGATTGATAATAATAGTAATAATAAAAAAACATGTCCTATAAACCCAACAAGCATTGCAGCATATATATATATATATATATATGTGTGTGTGTGTGTGTGTGTATTACCTTGCCCTCTGAAGTAAGTCTGTTCATATCATCATTAATAGTCTCTCGAGTCGCTTCTCCACCAGGTACATATCCTCTTGTTTCTTTTTTGACACGCTCTTTACTATCTTTGATATCTTCATCTTCAATTTCATGTTCACCACCACCCTCTTCATCATCTTGGAACACATCATCAAAGTCAAGATCATCTACATCAGAGTCCTAGAAATTATGATACATATATATGTGTGTGTGTATATTTAGTTTCGTAAATGACATTTTGTTATGGTTATTAACATTGGTTTGGTAATAACTTACATCGCGTGCACGTGCTTTTCCAGTCTCATCATCCGATCCAGCCAATCTTTTTAAAATAAAATAAGGTGAGCCAAGACAAGTCAAGTTGAGACAAAAATGATAATAATAAATTTAAACTCTTGGGCCGAGCCATATATATTTACGAACAGTCGAAACCAAATAAGAAATAAAGAAAGAAACATCCCACAAAGCTTTCCATTTTTTTTAAAAAAATAATAATAGTAATAATAATATAGAAATTAAAACTTACGCTCCATCACCATTATCGACAATTTTAAATTTCTGTTGTCGGCCAGCTCCGCCTTCTTCAACTGCTTCTGCTTTATCACGCTTCATCATCATCCAACGATTCTGCTCACGTTTTTGCTGTTTCTTTAGCTGCAAAAAAAAAACACAGAAAAGGTAGTCGATGTTTAGAAAAGGCTATAATAACAATACCAAGAATTACATGATACAACCTTCCCATTTATATATATATAAATAATAATAATAATAATTCATTATTACCTGCTCTTCGGCTTCTTCGAGTGTCAGAGTACGATAGGTTCTTTTAGGTTGGAATTTGTACCATCTATCAACAGGAACCACCTTAAAACCGTTGTCTGTCAAGACAAAGAATACATAATCTGATCTTTGTCCACCCTCGAGAGTGCCAGTAAAGCTGTTCTGGCCATCGTAATCTTCGAGTATCCAAGGTTTTTGTTCTTGTTCCTTTAATTCTCTAGTGTCTTCTTTGGCAAGGAAGATTTGCTTTGTGCGTTTTTTGAACAACATTTGTTTATTTCTTGTTGCTCCACCCATTGGGGCAATCAAAGATGTATCGGCACCAGTCTTGGGACCATGTTGCTGCTGCTGTTGTTGTTGTTGTTGCTGTTGTTGTTGTGGTTGATTTGATTGACTTGATTGACTTGATTGATTTTGTTGATTTTGTTGATTGGGATTATAGTTCTGAGCTTGTAAAGGGGGAGAGGATGAGCCAGCCTCGTTGTCTGGTTTTGTAAAGTTTCTTTGGTATGGTGTATAGTTGTTATCTTTTCGCTGGAGCTTTACTGGCAATGCAAAGGATTTCATGTCTACAGTCTTTGATGTTTTAAAGTCCATCAGGTGATTCTTCCCTCGCTGCGCGGATGAAGAAAGCTGGAAATCGTTGTATGGGATGGGTTGTGGTTGAGGTGGAGGAACTGGCATCGACTGGAATCCAGATGAATGATTGGCAAGATGATTATGATTATGTACATGACGCTGAGCTGCTGGTGTACCACGTCCACGTCCACGGACAGGTGATCTTGTGGTGTTGTAAATACTCGCCATTTTATTAAATACAATAAATAAAATAAAATAAAAATAAAGGCGATGGACTAGTATCTGGTGAATCTCAAAGGCTTTTTACTTTTTTCTTTTTTTTTAATGTATATATATATTTATAATGAAATTATAAGCAAACAAGTCAAACACAGAATGAAAAGATATATAAAGATCTTAGCTGACAAACTCACTCACTCGCTCACTCTCTTTCTCTCACACTCAATAAAAAAAAGCAAAAAAAAAAGAATGAAGTTTGAAAGGACCGCAATAGAGAGGGGGGTTTTTTTTATGAAAGGGGGGTGAGAAAATGGTCAATAAACATACGACGCAATCCAAACAGTCACATATGTATAATTCATCCTCTTAGATTATTATTATTAATTTTTCTTAGTTTTGAAATGAAATTTTATTTTGCATTGAAAACAGACTGACGAAAATTTGAATTTTTTTTTTACTATTCAATACAAACACAAAAAAAAGATATATTTATGAATATTTGAACAATGCAAGACAATGTTTTTTGTGCACATAAAGATGTGGAGTCTTAGCTTACCTCCTGCATAGCAGTCTTCTTGGCAGCGCTGTTCTTGCGGTCGAGGATGGCTTGACGGCTCTTATCGATCTTAAGGTTGGTGACAACAACCTTGGAAGGGTGGATACCAATGGGGACGGTGGCACCGTTGACCTTCTCGCGGGTGACACGGTCAATGTGGATAACCCACTTCTTACGGTAGACCTGAACAATCTTGCCCTCGCGGCCCTTGTAGGTACCACGGACGACCATGACCTCATCGTCCTTGCGAACGGGAATAGAGCGAGCCTAAAAGAGCAAGAACAAGATTTAGAAATAAAGAAAAAAAAAACAAGCAAAAAAACAAACAAAATACAGGTACATATATATTTCTCTTTAGTTTATTTCATTATTTCTTATCCTATACATAAATTTCTCGATAACCTCTTTCTCTCTCTCTCTCTAAATGATAAACGTATAAAGAACACCTACACTGTGCTTCTCTCTCAATTCCTTGGACAAAGGAGCGCTCATGATCTTGCGACGGATGCTAGAGGGAGCGGTGAAGTGGGCCTTGCGGCTCTTGCTACGGTCGGAGCTGACGTCTAAAAATTCACCCAAAAAAAGTTAAATAAAAATATACATTTGTAAAAAAATTCAATTGACAATTCATCATTGCAATTGTCAGACTCGGTGACCCAAAGACTATTTTCGTTGTGGTCGGGAAAGTGTAGAAGAGAAAGGATGTGTACTAGAGTGGTTGAATCGTCTTTTGTGTGATGGCGTTAAGAAATCTTAAGAAGAAAGACATGGTTGCGTTTTTTTGTTCTTTTGGCGAGAGTTGCTGACGGGAGTGTTTTATTGGTTTACAAGCCAATAAAATGTAAAAAATGTAAAAAAAAAATAGGGTATAGTGGATCCGGTTTTCGTAGGTCTTTTCGTAATAAAAATCATCCAATTTTCGCTACCCCTTGGCGCGTTTTGTTGGTCCACAAACTAGGGATATCCTTTCTCTTCTTTTTCCCTTCCTTTGGAAATCGCCTGGATGTGTGTGTAGTGTGTTGGATGCGTATATCTTACCAGCAGAGAACTTCATCCTGGCTATTGATGGATGGAGCGAAAAAGGAAGATCTTTACAGCAACCTGCCCTTGCCAATGCCAAATCCACCCGCTATGAGAAGTCACGTGACCTATCCGGACTCCTACTGGGTCCTAGCAAAAAAAGGTGTATCCTTGGTTTTACAGTCCGACTTAAATGAAGCCATTACAAATATCGTTTTTCTTTATTCTTTTATTTTATTTTATTCAACATTTCTCTATACATTTTCTGTTGTAAATTCTTAATAACCGTGAATATAAAATATTTTGGTTGCGAGACACTAGTATTTAAGAACAAGATTAATGATTTTATGCTGTGTGCTTTATACCACGTATATGCTATATATTATTGTGATATGACATGAGAATACATTGTAAAATAAAGAACCAATGTTTAGGCAAATGTGATTTATTTAATAAAACAAAGAAAATGGACCATAATATAAAAAGGTTATTTTGATTTGCAATATTTCGAGTACAAAGCACATGTATACTTATATATACACCTTCACAACACCTTCACAACACAATCACAGCAAATATCTCAATTGAGTATTCAAGCTCTAGGCCTTTAGGGACCAAGCACAAGATTCTGTAATTCATAAAACTAGGGAATTTTTTTTTAGGAATTTTTTATTGATAAAAGTAGAAAAGTCATTACCTTTTAAACACGTCTCTTTACAGTATTTCTTTAAAGAAAAAAAGAAAAAATATTGGCCTGCTTTTGGTACAAAAACAAGAATATTTTTTTAAAGTGGCATAGCGACGATTCAATCTATATAAATTACCTTTCAATACTTTAATAATAAGCCATATAAATATATACCACAATATCGATACTCAATTCAACAAATAACTTGCTGCCTGTATGTATGTGTGTATATGGTACTCAGAAATACAAGCCGAGTAATGGTCAATACAGGAAAGTAAAGGTAACATAATAGATGAGCAGTTAAGAGTTAGTTTTCTGAGCTTATGAATATATTCATCTTGTTTCTTTTTCTTTTTT